AATTGCAATGGGAATTACTGCAAAGAAAATCTGCTTAGGACTTAGTATAGAAGTGAAATAACTACAATATTTTGGTATGATGTTTATGAAACTTCATAGTAATCTGAATGCATTAATACTTTGTGATTTTAGACAATGTCATTGACAAAAAATGAGAATGTTATGTCCTGTTGCCTCTCACGGTTGTTTCCTGACATTGAGATTTGGAAAAATAATACACACCTATTGCCCTGCAGTCCAGTCTGTTAACAATAGAAACAATGTCCAACCTTTTTATGTTCCTTTCCCTTTGAACCAATGCTTTGCTTATAAAAAAAGGGTTTCCCTTTTCCCCCTTGGAGGCTCTTTAGGGATTTTTTAAAAGTTCACTAGGAAGATGTTAACTTCTACTGACCAAACTGTGCCCTCTTTCCATAGTACACTTAAAAACTGGGTTAGTGGTATGTGTCTGCAGTAGAATTAGTTTGTTATGGGAACATCAAAAAGGGTCAGGTGACCTGACAAACTATATATAAAAGTTCTTCATAGAATTAAGCAAATTCTACTCTTTTAGCCATGCCATGGGAACATCAAAACTCAGTCAATCTAATCCTCCAAGAAAAAGAGTTGGAACTGAAGAACTTAAAAAACAACTCATTATGGAACTCACTAAGAAGGCCTAGTAGTACAAAACCACTTCCCAATCCCTGATTAATAGCATCAATTCAGCCTAGTGCTGACTACTTAACCAACGGGGACAAGATTAGTGATGCAATGCAGCATTGCCAGTACTTCCGGATACAAAAAGTCAGTATAGTTGGAGCAGGAATGTCTTGGATTAAGTGTCTCTGTCTCTATCTCTGTTTCTGTGTCTCTCTCCTGCCCCCGCCCCCGTGTGTTCTGTCAGTTATGACTCCTGATGACTGTTTGGGCAAGGTCTGTGAGTCTAGCTCTAAGTTGCCCAGCTGGCTTCATGTTGAAAGCAGGACTAGGATACAGGGTCTTCCACTCTAGCCAAGTGGGCTAACCATCATAACAGACTGGCTATATTATATAAGTGAATAGGAACCACATTTTTTAACAAAGGAAAAATGTTTGATTCATTGAATGCAATTCTGTGCTGGCAGAACCATCAATAAGAGCATTTGATGGGGTTAGTGGCTGATTGGGATAAGTGGGTTTTGGGAACAGTGCCAATGTTCCATCAACTCTCCCTCGGCATATTTCCTACCTCCAGAAAATCAAATTTGCCCCTTTCAAATATGAATGTTCTTTCACTGGGAACCTCAACCAAGTGTGAATGAGGGAGACAGAAACAATTTTCCCCATGGGAGGAATTCTTTCTTATGCTCTTGCACAATATTCAGTTTTAGCAATTGAAATCTATCTAAAACTAGACAACAGCATCTGCATGACAGCATCAAGCTTCACATTTTTCCTTCCTCTGGGATTTATCCTCTTTCTTGACATTCTTGGAGCAGCTATATCCTGACATTTGTATTAAGACTGTGTTAGAAGTAAAGTCTTAGTCCTGGTTCATTGAAGCTGGGAATAAATAAGCAACATGGCGACTGCTTTGGGAAGATGGTTACAGTTTATTGAAGAGGCAGAAAGATGGTTCTTGCAGGAAAGACCAAAGGAAAAAAGGACCTGAGCACATGGGCAGTAGGTTTTTATACCCTCTGAAAGCCTTTTGTTTGGAATAGTTTCCTGTTCCCATGGCATGAACTTTGAACTAAGTCTGAGTGTTTTTCTAGGCCTTGGTATCTGTGGTTTAATCCTATTATCATATCCTGCCTCCCTGGTGATGGGGCTAATGACTCCTAGAGTTTGGGTGGGGAATGCAGATTTTAGGTCTTTGTCTTCTTGAGTTTTCTGGCTCCGACTTTCTGACGGTTTTACATTTGCATTTATATAGGGCTGGCCCCTGCTGGAGACAGAGAGAGTTGGGGCAGGGTTGATTTCTGCTTTTAAAAATCCTTTTGAGGAAAAATATATTTTTCTGCCCTTTTAATATTTCCTTCTCTGGGGCTAACTTTCCTCAACTGTTTACATTTTCTTTTTTCTTCACTCTTTCTCTCAGTATGGGCCCAAAGGCCTTCTGTAGTGGAGACTTAAGCCCAGTGCCCCCTTGATCTATAGCCACTCTGAAAGGCATCTCCACATCATACATCAACTTGCTAGCATTACAGCAACCCTCTTGAAAGCATTTGCCCAGGTTTATTACCAGACCATGTGGTTACAAAGCTCTCATACCCAAAGACTGTTCTTTACTTTTTTCAGTTGATCTTTCCTCACAACCATCCCCACAGAGTAACCTTACAGAAGTTGTTGGGGTTTTTGTTGTTTGTTTTTGGCAAATCTGTAGCTAACTATAGTAAAATATGTGGATCCTGGAGGAAAAGTTAAGTTATTTTTGTTAGTATATGATTCACTTGGAGTTTGGGCTGCTATTAACATTCTTTGCTTTGGGCACTAGGTGAAGGGCTTGGAGTTTTGACTTCTGTATTGAAACTTAACAGCCATTAGACTGGCTGTGTTCCTGATGAACATCCGGTTTTATTTAATCCTTATATTACAGTGATTGCTGTTATAATCTTTAAAAGAATTATCTACTTTATTTTTCATGTTAGGCATTTTGTAGCTATCAACACATTTCGAATCCATTTATGAGTTGACAGGTTATAGATAGGTTAATAGATTAAACAAATAACTATGTATTTTTTTAAAGAGACTCCAGTAAATTAGGCAGAAACTTTGAATCCCAGAGAGTAATAACTAATGGCAAAATCCTTGTACTTTGAAGGACTGATTTTGAAAGTGGCTAGTAAATTAGTAGAAGATCCAACCTCCATCCCATGTATATATTGGTTATTGGCTTTATTAATGTTTTAATATTGATGCCCAATGATTTAATCTTTTGATGCTTTGTTTTATATTATTAAGAAAACACTGTAATCCACCCAGAATTGCTTGATAGCAAGATAAGTAACATATACATTTAATTAATTAATAAATAAACAGTAATATACATAATAATAACTGGCACAATTATATATAGTATATCTCAGAAATCTCCAGTAGAAGAACTATAGCATACAAGCCATCAAAATCACTGCAAAGCATTTTAAGTAAAACCACAGATCATGAACCAAAGATAGAGCAGGAGTTATTTACAAAATGAAATGCATGAATTGTGAACATCAAATAACAGAACATATTCAGGAGTATGATGAGCAGTTAGAAGATACGACAGAACCTCATTAATTTCACTGTGCACAGACAAATTCAACTATAAATTTGCCTCGGAAGTCACTGAAACTCTAATTTGGGCCAAGTACAAGAATGCATAAAAATTCCTAATAGACTGGCATTCTAATAAATTATCAACCAACAAACTTATAAACCTAGACCCAACCACTGACTATTTCAATAAAATAGCCAAAGGTCAATTTGATAAGAGGTTAAAAATAGCATAAAATCACCACATCCATTATCATATAATTATTAGCCAACACTCAGATAAAGAAAAGAAGGCAACCCATCAGTGAAGCAAAAACTAGACAATGAAGTATTAATTACATAGAAAACAAAAACACCTAACAATAGAACCCACCCAATCAAATATAAGTCCAGTAGGACAAGTAAATATATATATTTCACACCTAACCAGAAGACCTTAGTTCTCCAAGATCATAGTACTGAATATGTTACCAAGATAAGCAGTGAAACATTTGCAAAAATAAAAACAGTCAGAACTCTTACAATTTCATTCAAATCCTGAACTAAATATATTCTCCACAATGCTATCTGAATTTTTGTGCTATATTTAAAAAGGCAGTTATACACTTGGCTCAGCTCCTAATGACTTCATCCATGTACTTTTCTTGGGTCACATTTTAGAACAGGGGTGTCAAACTCGCAACGACATGTGACGTGTCGCAACATATCGCAACTTTTTTTCCGTTGCTGGCAATGGGGTGGGTGCGGTTTGGCCATGACGCATCCGGCCCATAGGTCGGCAGTTTGACACCCTTGTTTTAGAAGTTGCTTGCCATTATCTTCTTCCAAGAAATTTTTTGTAACTTCCCAGTTTAATCAAGAACTCTTAGAATTCTTAGGGTTTCATCCAAGTATCAAGCAAGTAGTATACAGACTAAGTTTCTATAATACAGTAACAACATGCTAGTGAATTACAATTTAGCCTGATGCGGCATGTAAATTGGTCACTATAACTTATTGCTCAGTATCAATGACCAAGTTGACCTTATGTAGAATTAATTCCACTGCTGATCATTATTTCCTGTTTTTTTAATTGATTATGGGTAGTTGTTCCAGGTTTGTATATTGTTTTAACTTGTAGTTATTGGATTATTTTTAACTTGTTGTGAGCTACCCAGAGTTGCTTAGATGACATGGACCACCACACAAGTAGAATAACAGAACTCTAGTATTTATGTTCCTCAAAGTCTGCCTCTATGGAAATTTCCCTTCATCATGTCCCCACAACTATCCTACAACCAAACTTGATTGAGATAGAATAATTAATCTGGGGACATCTAGTGAGTCCCTTGGCTAGGACTCTCAGATTTGGCCTGTAAACTCCAGACAGTACTAATGACAAGGCAGCAAAGAGAACTTTTTGCTGCCATTTAGTAGCATCAGATCTTGGGAGCCCTGTTCTGATAGCCTTACTATGGATAAGGATGAATGTATACTCTCAGTCTTTCTAGTCTTAGGCTGCCACTCTGTTCCCCCCCCTCCAGCACAAAGTGACAAAACAGGCTTAATTAAATAAACTTAATCACAAGTGAGGATATTATGAGTTGTAAACTTAGTCAACTGTCATTTATTCAAGAACTGATGGTTCAATGAACCATTCCTTGCTATGATATGGGGCCGGTCACTAAATTCGAGAATTTTAGGTATTGGAGTATAACCTTTGTGTTCCTGAATTATGAAAAAAACTGATTTATTGTTGAATTTAATAAGGATTGTTTTATGACTTTTTTTTCTTGCAGGTGATTACAAGTACTGATAATCATATAAAGCAAATATAGAGATAGTGAAATGGCAGAATAAAGAATATGTCCGCTGAGCTAGCAGACTGCAGAACATGGGGAGTCTTCCAGAAGAGGTGATGGTCAATAACACTCAGAACTGCATCACTGATCATAGCATACATCAGATGTTATCACCCGTGATATACATACTTGTCTTTGTAGTAGGACTCCCAGCCAATTGTCTCTCATTGTACTATGCTTACTTGCAAGTTAAGGTCAAGAATGAACTAGGAATATACCTTTGCAATCTAACCATAGCAGATCTACTTTACATTTTCTCTCTACCTTTTTGGCTGCAGTATGTTTTGCAGCATGATAACTGGACTTACAATGAACTCTTATGCAAAATTTGTGGCATCCTCCTTTATGAAAACATTTATATCAGTGTGGGTTTTCTCTGCTGTATCTCCATTGACCGTTACCTTGCCGTGGTGCATCCTTTTCGTTTCCAAAAGTGCCGTACAATGAAGGCTGCTGTGGTGGTGAGCACTGTCATCTGGACTAAAGAAATTGTGACTTGTTGGCTGGTTTTTAGACATGGAGAAGTGAGTAAAGACTCGGAGAGCCACGTAGTGTGCTTTGAGCATTATCCCATAAAAAACTGGGAACATAACATAAACTTTTACCGCTTTACAGCTGGTTTCCTATTTCCATTTTGCCTCCTTATTTTTTCCTACTATGGAATTCTACGTGTTGTCCGGAAGAGTCACGGTACTCAGAAAAAGAGGAAAATTCAAATTAAACGCCTAGTTTCAAGCACAATCTTAATTTTCTTAATTTGCTTTGGACCATATCATGTTCTTTTGTTAATACGCAGCCTATTTGAGAACAGCTGTGAATTTGCTGCCAAAATCTTTAACATCTATCATATTTCTCTTTTGTTGACCACTTTTAATTGTGTTGCAGATCCCATACTATATTGCTTTTCAAGTGAAAATACCTACCAGGATTTTGCCAAAATAAGAGGATCTTGTTTAAAATGCCTAAGATGTATTCCAACAGAAAACAATGAATCCTATCCATTAAATACTCCAGAAACCACAAAAAAAGACAGTGAACAAGCTGATCTGAACACAGGATGTATTAAATGAACTCTATGTTATTCTTAAAATAGAAGAAGTATGAACTGAGTCTTTCTCACTCAAATAGTGATATAATTTCTCCATGTGTGGACTTGCTCACTTCACTTTTTTACATCTAAGTGTAGATATGAGAATCATTACAGCCTGTAAAATGGTTCATAATTTAAAAATACAGTTAAATCTGCTATATCGGCATTCTTTCCATGTGGAGAATTCCTTGCTTCCTTTAAAAAAACCAGCTTCATTCAATTCAGAACTTCACCCCAATGTGTTAGTTATGCAAATTATATTAACTTTGAAGTTTATAAGCTATTCAGATGCATACTCTTTGGATAAAAATAATATTCTAGATTTAAATACTGTATTCTTGGAAAGTAGATGTCAAAACATATTTTTATAATCATGTGTTAAGTCTACCAACTAGAGTGTGTCATAAGGTCTGAAATTATTCAAATCCCTTCTACTATATGAGGTAAACATGTACATGGTTCACACATTGTGCTAAGCAACTGGTATGTTTTCAAAAACTAGCCATACCAATTTTTATTCAGCATCTTGTGAAAACCAAGCTTATGCGGTTGGTTTATAGTTAGGAGTGTCATGCAAATCACACAACTAGGTTAATTTTTAATAATCCACAACTAAGTCAATTATTAGTAGCCTAATATAAACATAATACAGTGTATTTGATTTCAGCTCAGTATATTGTATGAATATACATACAATACTGTGGTTTATTCCTGACCAATATTGGAACTCAGTCAACTGAAGCTTATTTAAAAACTACCTTAAACAAACAAAGCCATAGCAAGATATGTGGAAAAATAATTAAATGCCCGTCAGAGGCATTTAAGAAAAATAAAGAAAAAATAGTATTTATTTATAATTAGTGTTATTTCTTCATTATACTATTAATGCAAAATAAGCAGAAAAACTTAGTTTTGTAACATTTGTACATATCCTTTGGATTACGTTTAAGGAATTAATTTGATAACTACCAAACCAGCTATAGCAGTAATCTTATGTTTGTAAATGTTTGAACTAAAATGTTACGGTTGTTAATTCAAACACTTCAGTCATGTTTAGATCAGAATTATTGTTGATTTCTCAAACAAAAGCAATGAATATTAGGAATTTTAGAGAGAATAGTAAACAAAATGGGAGGTGTAATGCTTCGATGTCAATCTATGTTAAATCAAACTTGTTAAATCATGTGGTCCAAAATAAATGCAAATAGAACACAAGAAAAACTGAAGCTGAAACAAATTGCATTGCTGAGATGTATTCTGCTCCAAGGAAGACTTACCGGTAGTTTGTTTAGGTCAACACTTAGTTTATTAGTAGTTTTATGCAACAAAATTCTATACTAAGCCAAACAGACATGCATTTATTTGTTGGTTATATTTTGCTTTACATGGAATCTTTATACAATAGTTCTTTCTCCAATTTAATGTGTTTCTTAAGTCAGGGGGCAAAATTCTCTGAATATAATAGTACTGAGTAAGAATGAATATGCAAATGGTTTGGCATTTGTTATTGCAACAGAAATGGTGATGGTACTCTAAAGCAGACATAGCTGAAGACGATTAAAACTTTGATCTGACTGCAGTGTAACAATGATTAAAGTAAGAAGTCATAACCTAACTTGTGCGTCATATAGTTGTGGGAGGTCCATTCTAAGCATTCTTATAAAACATTAATTTTGAGAAGTTGGAAATTGCACCGGTTTGTAATTTAATCTAATCTCATTGATCTAATTGAGTTCACTGGAATATGCTCAGCTATAAGTTTACAGAATCACAACTAATTTTCTATTACTAAATTTGCATTCACAAATCAAAATAACTTCAACAGCTGTAATAGAAATGGTCAATGTCTAATTTCCAGCCCAGAATTTAAATGGACTTCTGCTATCACATAATAAAAATGTATATAAAATATTTATTTATGGACTGATTTGGAGGCAATGAGGTGAGCTGTTAATGTATCTCCTTTCTTCTGGTCACTGCCACAGTTTTTACTATTTCTCTTCTAGCATTTCACCTCCCAAATCCCAAGATCTTTCTTTGCTCTCTGCTAACTTCTAAGATCAAGCTTGAGTATGTTAGTGTCTGTCTAATTTATAATCCCTTGTTTAAAGCTGCATTTCTGAGTTAAGAAACCCTGGTTCTACAATTTCGATATTTAACTGTATACTGTTACTTCTCTTGAGCTGCTTCTCTTTCTGTTGTTCTACCTCATCCACTTCGCATAAGCACAACATCCTACCTCAATATAAAATGGGATAATTTTAGAACGGGATGTGATGGGGTATTTTATGAGAGAGAAAAGTGTTCTGAATGTCCAAGAATTCAATTATTTCAACAGTTTTTTAAAAAGTCTTAAGTCAATTTCAACTTCTAGTTTTTTGGACCCATACCATAAGCACATAAAAAAATAACAAGGATTCACATGTTCTGATTTATGTGGCGATAGAAAAGGGCAGATAGGAACTAAGTTGAATTGATGCAAATACAAAATAGAGCAAAAAGGACAAGTATAAAAAGTGGAAAGAGGGGCACATAACTAAGGCAGAATATCAGCAAATAGCCCAAGCCTGCAAAGATGGAGTGAGGAAAGCTAAGGCTCAAAATGAACTAAGGCTAGGCTGCATTAACAGAGGGATAGAATCAAGATCACATGAAGCATTAATATCACTTTACAATATTTTGGTAAGGCCACACTTGGAATACTGCATCCAGTCTTGGTCACCACGATGTAAAAAAGATGTTGAGACTCTAGAAAGAGTACAGAGAAGAGCAACAAAGATGATCAGGGGACTGGAGGCTAAAACATATAAGGAACGGTTGCTGGAATTGGGTATGTATAGTTTAATGAAGAGAAGGATGAGGGGTGACATGATAGCAGTGTTCCAATATCTCAGGGGCTGCCACAAAGAAGAGGGAGTCAAGCTATTCTCCAAAGCACCTGAAGGCAGGACAGGAAGCAACAGATGGAAACTCACCAAAGAGAGAAGCAACCTAGAACTAAGAAGAAATTTTCTGACAGTTAGAACAATTAATCAGTGGAACAACCTGCCTCCAGAAGCTGTGAATGCACCAACACTAGAAGTTTTTAAGAAGAGACTGGACAGCCATTTGCCTGAAATGGTATAGGTTTCCTGCCTGAGAAGGGGGTTGGATTACATGACCTCCAAGGTACCTTCCAACTTTTTAATTATTTATTTATTTATTATTATTATTAATCATCGCAATCAGCCAGATGCTCAGACTGGATTTGGCATTTTTGTCTACCTATCGAGTCCTTACCAAGGACCTGGGATAGACAGATGTGGATGTTTGATGGTATTACAGATATCGTCACAGGATGGAAGCAGTTATTACTAATTATTATTATTATTATATTAGAAATGACACAATAAATACAGCAGAACTGCATTTCTTTATTAAAACATACTGTGCCATGGTAAAGTGCTATTCACAAGGGGAAGATTATGGTAACAGAGAGAAGAGCACACACATACATATAGCACAATTTAGTAACAGGCAAGTACAGGGATTCTCAACTTACAACCATTTGTTTAGCAACTGTTCAAAGATACAAGAGGGGTCTTCCAACCAGGCATTGCATTTACAACCATTGCAGCATCCCCACAGTCAGGTGATCCAGGTGATCAAACTGCCAGTGGCTGGAACCAGCATGTATTTACAATGGCTGTACCATCCTGCGGTCATGTGACCGCCATTTGTGAGCTATCCAGCTGGTTTGCTGCAAGCAAAATAAATGGGGGAAGCTGGACTCACTTAATAACCATGTGATTCACTTAACAACTGCAGTGATTGGCTTAACTGTGGCAAAAAGTCATAAAATTGGGCATAACTCACTTAACAACCACCTTGCTTAGCTATAGAAATTCTGGCCCAAATTGTGGTCATAAGTCAAGGACTATTTGTATAAGGACAGAAAAGATTAAACAACCACATTTATTGTGGCAGTGTTTTTGCTGATAGATTCTTGCTATGTAGAGTTTTATATAATGAGGGGGACTCATCAAATTTGTAGATAACACCAAACTGGCAGGAGTAGCCAACATCCCAGAAGACAAACTCAGGATCCAAAAAGATCTTGACAAACTTGAACAATGGGTCCTATCCAACAAAATGAGTCTCAATGTCGAGAAAAGCAAAGCTTTACATTTAAATCAAAGGTTTAAGTACACATTAAATGTCACCTGGCTCAAAAACAGTAACTGTGAGAGGGACCTTGGAGTCCTAGTGGACGATCACTTGACTATCAGCCAGCAGTGTGCAGCAGCAGCCAAAAAACTAATACAATCCTGGGTTGAATAAACAGAGCCGATGACATGGTTCCGAAAGAAAGCAGATTTTCAAAGAATTTTGAGGCTTTTTTCCTCTAAAAGAATCTTTTATTATTCTGCATAGCTTCGGCACTAACAAAGTTAAGCCAGAAACTGAATCCTCCCTCCCCCAAGCATCTGTAACAAAGCATAACTCACTCCTTCATTTTACAGTCATCAATCACATTCTCCAATTAATGTAAAGTGTGAGGTGCCCCTCCTGTTGCAGCTGAGCTGACCTTGGCCACACTGTGCCCAGACATTGTTATGGTTAACTTGCATACTTTCCCATCCCTTAAACTACTACTATCTGCCTTAACTCTAGAAATGCTATACGGGCTAAATAAAACAGGTTTGCTTCTTCATATATGGCAAGCAAGAACATCCGATGTTAGCAGTCTTGACATCCGGCCCTCCTTACAAAAAGGACAAACCCTGGAATATAAACATAAGTATAGGTTAAGGGTTATTTTTCGGTTTGTTGGGGTATTTAACATGAAACCTTTTGACTAATCTGTCAGCTTTCACTTCACTGGACTTCACCCAGGTGGCTTCAGACAACGGGTATCCCTTCCATTGTACTAAGTACTGTAATTTCCCTCTAAAGATTCTGGAATCGAGAATACGTTTCACCTCATAGTGGGTTTGTCCTGCCACTACGAGGGGCCCAGGTGCCTTCTTTGGAGGAGGTCTTAAAGTAGAGCCCCGATAGGGCTTCAACAAACTACAATGGAAAACTGGGTGAATCTTCCCTAACAGTTTAGGGAGTTTTAGTTTTACTGTGACCGGGTTGATGATCTTTACTATGGGGAAAGGCCCCAGGAATTTGGGTCCCAGTTTCTTGCTAGGCAATTTGAGGCGTAGATATTTGGTTGACAGATAGACCTTTTCTCCAACTTGGAATGTCCTTTGGGGAGCCCTCTTTTTATCAGCCTGCTTCTTATAGATTTCAAAAGTCTTTTTCAAAGCAATTCGGGTGTTTTTCCAAACTTCTTCCCATCCCTTCACCCACTGATCAAGTGTCTGGGAAGCGGAGGGCAACTGAGGATATTCAGGTATTGGGCTGAACTCTTTTCCTGTGGCCACTCTGAAGGGCGTGTAGCCGGTGCTGCTGTGCACAGAATTATTGTACGCCACCTCTGCGAAAGGGAGGAGATCAGTCCAATTCGTCTGTTGGTAAGAGACGTAGCATCTAAGATATTGCTCCACCATTTTGTTAGCGGCTTCTGTGGCCCCATTGGTGGCCGGATGAAAAGCAGATGATAACCCTTGAGATGATCCAATCAATGTAAGGAAATTTCTCCAAAATTTTGCAGTGAACTGCACCCCCCTGTCCGAAATTATTCATTTAGGGGCGCCATGCAGTCAGTAGATATGTTTCAGGAACAATTTGGCCAGTCGTTGGGCAGATGGAAGTCCTTTGCAGGCGATGAAATGAGCTTGCTTCGAGAATAGGTCTATTACAGTCCATATGACAGTATTTCCCCTACTTTCAGGTAGGTCTACTACGAAGTCCATAGCTATTTCTTCCCATGGTTGGGAAGGGTTTGCTACAGGTTGCAGCAACCCTGGGGTTTTCCCTGGGATTCTTTTCATTGTGGCACATATAGTACAACTTTTTACATAGTTTTCCACATCCTTTTTTAGCCCCGGCCACCAGAATTGCCGGCGGGTGAGGTGTAGGGTTTTCAAATATTCAAAGTGTCCAGCCTGCTTTACATCGTGGCGCTTCTGGCAAATATAACTTCCCCCCTTTGTAAGCCAAGCCATCTCTGCATGTTAGGGACGATTGATTATCTTTGAACCATTGGTCAGTGAGGAGCTCTCGTTTTATTTTCTTCACTCCAGGGTCATCAGGACTGGGGATCCCGCGAGGCATAAGTTGAGCGGCAGTTTGTGGATTGGGAATAATTGCCTCGTTAACCTGCTCTCGTTCGCTTTTGTACTGGGGTAACCGGGATAGCGCATCAGCTAGAAAGTTCTTTCCTCCTGGTATGTACTTTAGAGTGAAGTTGAAGCGGTTAAAGTACTGTCCCACCGTACTTGCTTTGGTGACAATTTGCGGGGAGTTTTCAGTGCCTCCAGGTTTTTGTGATCTGTCCATACCTCAAATGGCACCTTGCTCCCTTCTAGATAGTGTCGCCAGTTCAATAGAGCCCACCTAATTGCAAAGGCCTCTTTCTCCCAGATTGCCCATCTTCGCTCGCTCTCAGTGAATTTCTTAGAGGTGTAGGCACAGGGTTGCAGGATCCCATTTGTGTTCTTTTGAAGTAACACTGCTCCAACCGCCACATCGCTGGCATCGGCTTGAATCACAAAGGGTTCCCCTGGGCAGGGGTGCTTTAGAACCGGTTCAGCGGCAAATAGTCTCTTTAAATTCTCAAAAGCTGTTTGACAGCTCATTGTCCATGCTAGTGGTTGGCCCGGTCGTGGCTTCCCTCCTCCTTTGCCTGTTTTGAGTAGTTCCGTAAGAGGTAGGGCAATCTCGGCAAAAGAAGGGATGAATTGACGGTAGAAGTTGGCAAAACCCAGAAAGCTTTGGAGCTGTTTGCGAGTCCTTGGGGGCTGCCATTCGATTATAGTTTTTACCTTGGCTGGATCCATTTCAATACCCTCATTGGAAATTCGGTAGCCAAGATAGTCTAATTGGGTTTGGTGAAATTCACATTTTGACAATTTGACATACAGCTTGGTATTCAATAGTTTCTTTAACACTTCTCTCACTAGCTTTATGTGATCAGTCATATTTGAGCTGTATATTAGGATATCATCAAGATACACCAAAACCCCTTTGTACAAGTGATCATGTAGAACCTCATTAATCAGCTGCATAAATACAGCTGGGGCCCCCTGTAGTCCAAATGGCATGACTTTGAACTTATAGCTCCCCATAGGACAGTTGAAGGCAGTTTTCCACTCGTCTCCCTCTCTTATTCTCACCCGGTAGTATGCCTCTCTTAGGTCTAACTTAGTGAAGACACTCCCCTTAGCCAGATGGGTCAATAAATCCTTTAGGAGGGGGAGGGGGTATTTATTTTCCACTTACAGCATTGAGTCCCTTGTAGTCTACGCAGAGACAAAGAGACCCATCTTTTTTCTCTTTGAACAACACAGGGGCTCCCACGGAAGATTTGGCCCGTTCAATAAACCCCCTCGCTAGGTTCTTGTTCACATATCGCTGCATCTCCTCCATTTCGAGGGGGACATAGCATACATCCTCGGGCGTGGGAGTTTGGCTCCGGGCACCAGTTCGATGGAGCAGTCATTGGGTCTGTGAGGGGGTAGGGCATCACATTCTTTTTCACTGAACACCTCCGCCAGGTCCCGGTATTCCTTGGGGATGACTGGTTCACCTGGAGGTAACGAGGTGGCCATGTGCGCTCACTCATTGGGTGGCCTAAATTGCCCAGCAACATCTGTTGAATCAATGGGAGGATCAGGCCCTACGGGTAGTCTCATAGTTCTCATTCCTTTCTCCCACCAGATAAACGGCCTCCATTTGTCTAACCAGGCTAGTCCTAGGATCACCGCCTCAGTCATTTTTGGAGCCACCAGGAAGCGAATAAACTCCCAGTGTGCACCTATCTCTAGGCATAAGGGTTCAGTTACCTGTGTGATGAGAATTCCTCCCATGAGGGAGCCATCAGCCTGTTCAAACCTCATGGGTTTGGAGAGTGATTTTGCTCGTATGCCCAATTTCATAGCAAAGGGTAAGCTAATAATACATCGGGTGCATCCAGAGTCTATTAGCACATTTAAGTTTATTTGCACCCCTGATTTAGGGATTATAAGTTTGGCAGCTAGGGAAAAAGACGGGATTTGGCGACTCACCATTGGGTCGTTTTCCCCTTCGTCATCGCTGTCAAGAGGGGGTAGAGCAGGAACAGATCCAGCCTTGGCTCCGGTATCCTGCTGCGCAGAGGATGCGACTTGGGCAGCCAGTTCTTGGTTGATCCAATTGGATTTCCCTCTGGGTGGTTGCTGATCAGGTTTCTTTTTTGCTGCGTGTCTCGGTCTGCTCTGCTGTTGAGGGTAGGCAACTGGGCAATTTGCTGCTCGATGTCCCTGTTGTCCACATCGGAAGCATGCAAGTGGTGGCCCCACAGGCGGTCTGGGTCTTTCGGTAGACATAGTTGTTGGGGGTCTCCAGGGGGTTGGTTGTCGTCTGGATCGTTCTGGTATTGGTTCAACTCCAGGAGAGGGAGGCTTCTTATAACGAGAGAGCTTAACATCCAGCTTCACGGCCGTCTGGTACCACTCCTGCAGCCGATCAGGTACTTCTCGATAGAGGCAAGCCTGAGAGAGGTGATCATCTAATCCCTCGATGAAGTAATGGATGAGGGACTGCTCAGGCCACCCTTCTATTCGACCTGCTATCTTGCGGAATTCTCGCACGTACTCGCAGGCCTCCCTGCTTGTTTTATTTTGTGAATTTGTCCTGCTGCTTTGAGGCCGATGGATGGGTCTTCAAATCGTTCTCTCAGTCCTAAGAGAAAGAGATGGGGATCTTCCAATTCGGGGGCTTGCTCGCTATATAGATTGTTCAGCCATTCAGATGCTTCTCCCTCCAGGTTGGTCGCAATGACGTCAACCATGGCCCCTGGTTCCGGATAGAGATAGGCCCAGCGATTTAAATGAGAACGCACTTGGTTGAGGAAAAAAATCAGCTTCTCTGGGTCCCCATCGAATGTTGCTTTGAAAGGTGGTGTGAATGCAGGCTGCTGCGGACCCCACCTGGGTTGCTGTTGGCCCCATCCGGCCTGTCGATCCCGTTGCTGCGGGGCCCTCTGCTGCTGGGCAGCGGGGGCTGGTGGTGCCCCCAGTTGCTGTTGGCCCCACCCGGCCTGCTGACCCAACGGCTGCGGGGCTCTCTGCTGTTGAGGTGGTGCCCCCAGTTGCTGTTGGCCCCACCCAGCCTGCTGATCCAACAGCTGCGGGGCCCTCTGCTGCTGGGCAGCGGGGGCTGGTGGTGCCCCCAGTTGCTGTTGACCCCACCCGGCCTGCTGATCCAACGGCTTCGGGGCCCTCTGCTGTTGACGTGGTGCCCCCAGTTGCTGTTGGCCCCACCCGGCCTGCTGATCCAACGGCTGCGGGGCCCTCTGCTGCTGGGCAACGGGGGCTGGTGGTGCCCCCAGTTGCTGTTGGCCCCACCCGCCATGCTGATCCCACAGCTGCTGGGCTCTCAGTAGTCGACGTGGCGCCCCCTGCTGCAGTTGGTCCCACCCTGCCTGCTGATCCAATGGTTGCTGGGCTCTCTGCTGCTGGCCAGTGGGGGCTGGGGGTGCCCCCTGCTGCTGCAGGCCTCCCAATGGTGGTTGTGCAAGCGGGGGTAGTAGTAGTCTTCCTTGCTGTTAGGCTGCAGGGGGTGGTGACGCCCTCTGCTGCTGTAGGCCCCTCAATGGCTGCTGGATATGTTGGGCCTCTCTCGTCTGCAAGCTCACTGGCTGTAGCTCCCCTGGCTTTGGCACTAGCCCGAGCTGTTGCAAGTCCTCTATTATTTGGTGTAGGCTTGGAGACGGCTGATCACTTATCTGTGGAATTTGCTCAATTTCACCTTGCTGCAGGGGCCCCAGGCTGGGGTCTCCTCTCTGTGTGGGGCTAGAGGCTCTGGCAGGGGTCCCCAGGGGTTGAAAAGCCAATTGATCTGCAAGGAAGGGGCTGGGGGCCTCTCTCAATGGGAGTTGCTCTTCGCTCCGCACTTCTAATTCTTCAAATCTCTCTGCTAGGTATTCTAATGACCCACTGCAAGCTGCAGGTGGGTATTTCCACTCACCCGAGTCTTCAGCGATAGATGGCCGGGCAGCTCTCCATTGTTGGGAGGAAGGTGATATGTAAACATCCCTTCGCCGTGACTCACGCTCATCTGCTGGCAAGGCTGTGTGGAAACTTCCGGAGCCTTCGCTCGGCTTGTCCCAGTCTGACGACCAAATCAGCTCTCCTGATAGTTTTGGCCTTGCTCCCAGCTGTGGAGTTTGCCAGAGTTTCTTCTCCACTGTCTGGGTAGCTGGCCCTTCCCTTCCTGGAGAAGCTGCTGCTGCAGCTCCTCCTGGAGAAGCTGCGGCTGGGGGGGTGCCGGCCTCAGGCACTTCTTTCTCTTCCATGGTGAGATCTTCCCCAAATCTTTGTCAGCTATCCCCGTTAGCTTAGGGATAGTGACTGGGGTAAGGGACCCCTAAATGAATTTAAAAGTTTGTGGTTTCTGGCTTGATGACATGGTTCCGAAAGAAAGCAGATTTTCAAAGAATTTTGAGGCTTTTTCCTCTAAAAGAATCTTTTATTATTCTGCATAGCTTCGGCACTAACAAAGTTAAGCCAGAAACTGAATCCTCCCTCCCCCAAGCATCTGTAACAAAGCATAACTCACTCCTTCATTTTACAGTCATCAATCACATTCTCCAATTAATGTGAAGCGTGAGGTGCCCCTCCCGTTGCAGCTGAGCTGACCTTGGCCACACTGTGCCCAGACATTGTTATGGTTAACTTGCATACTTTCCCATCCCTTAAACTACTACTATCTGCCTTAACTCTAGAAATGCTATACGGGCTAAATAAAACAGGTTTGCTTCTTCACATATGGCAAGCAAGAACATCCGATGTTAGCAGTCTTGACAGCCATAGAATCAAGATCACGCGAGGTATTAGTACCACTTTATAAAACCCTAGTAAGACCACACCTGGAATACTGCAGCCAATTTTGGTCACCATACTACAAAAAAGATGTTGAGACCTTGGAAAAAGTTCAGAGAAGAGCAACTAAGATGATCAAAGGCCTGGAGACTAAAACATACGAAGAATGGCTGCAGTACTTGGCTAGTCTAAAGAAAAGAAGAAACAAGGGCGAAATGATAGCAGTATTCCAGTATTTGAGGGGCTGCCACAAAGAAGAGGGGGTCAAACTATTCTCCAGAGCACCAGAGGGCAGGACAAGAAACAATGGTTGGAAACTGATCAAAGAGAGAAGCAACCTGGAATTAAGGAGAAACTTCCTGACAGTGAGGACAATTAACCAGTGGAACAGCTTGCCTTCAGAAATCATGGGTGCTCCATCATTGGAGGTTTTTAAGAAAAGACTGAACAGTCATTTGTCTGAGATGGTATAGGTTCTCCGACTTGAGCAGGGGGCTGGATTAGAAGACCTCCAAGGTCCCGTCCAGCTCTATTCTATTCTATTCTATTCTATTCTATTCTATTCTATTCTATTCTATTCTATTCTATTCTATTCTATTCTATTCTATTCTATTCTATTCTATTCTATTCTACTCTACTCTACTCTACTCTACTCTACTCTATTCTGTTTCTATCATGGACATGGCCTTTAAGAAGGATTCAATTACTCTAAGAAATGGACAGTTTGATTATGGAATTAAAAATCACATTTTAGGAGCAGTGATAGAAAGAACAGTATACAAAAAGGCAACTGAGTGGGAATATGATACTCTCTGTTCATATTGGAAGGGTATCATAGAGAAGGCCACAACAACTCTTTCTTTATCATTCTAGAAGACACGACATGTAATAACTCAGTTAGTGGAAGGCAGATTCTGGTTCAAAGTTGAGAATCTCCTCTTAAGAAGAGCAGTTTGACAGTGCAACCAATTACCTATTGAAGTATTCAAGAAAAGCTAGATAGACTTTTGTGGATTTTAATTTGGATGCTTGCCCTGAGCAAAGAGTTGAACTGTCATGGTTCTGACAGATGAAACTCTTCAAAAGAACTTCAAGGCATTGTTTACCTTAAAGAATCCTTTATTCGAGAAACAAAGTATCGGCACTACATAGTTAAAGCCAAAAACTAAATTCCCCCCCCCCGGGCATAAAATAGCAAAGCACAATTCCCTCCTCTAATTAACAGTCATAAATCACATTCCCCAATTATCTTGAAGCACGGGCTTTCTCCCCAGCTCTCCAGCCCCCCAAATCTTTATCAACTCTGGGCACAATAACCTTGGAGTCCCATGGCTGAGTTATTATTGTTATGACTAACTGGACTCTTAGCCAATCCCCCCTCCCAGCATCAATTAACTCTAAAAGCGAAAGAGAAAAAATGGCTACATTTCCATCTGTTGTCAAAGCAAGAAGTGGCTGTTCCATTCTTATTATTTTATGGGAGAGAAGAAAGTATTTCAAAACAGTGTCTGCAACTTTCCTTTGGAGGCATCCTTGGATTTTCGGAAATGAAATTCAGAGAAAAATAGAGTTGACTCGTTCTTGCAGTCAAATTAAATGACTACTGCTTAAATTACAGTTTTAACATGGCATCTGGCAAATGCGGCACAGATGGATCTTGTTTAAATCTAAGGAAATACATTTTCAATTAATTTATTGTTGATATATTTTAGTCAAATAATTGAAAAAAGACATCATTCTGAAAAATATATTCAGCAATGACATTATTCCAGTAATTTACTGTATGATCACAGGTTCTTCTACCTTATAATATTTGGAATAGTAAATTGTGGCAGGATATCTGATCAGGGAGTGTAATGGTATTCTGGACTGAATGTGTTTAATATACCATATTTTTAGAGAGGGAGTATTATTTGAAAGTTTCCTCCAGCAGCCTCTCTATTAAATTTGAATGAATGTCAAAGAACGGCAGAGCATCCACTTCCATTGCCAAACTTGCAGTTATCCCACTGCGAACGTGATGCTGCTGTAATATCTTCAGCATGTTTTCTTCCTAAATAGTAAAACAGACAGTACATTTTTTAATTCCCTTTAAAATGTAGGTTTTTACTTTAATAGATGAAAGTGCTCAAAGTCAGGGATTTATTTTAATGTTTACTGCTTAAGTCAGTGGTTCTCAACCTGTGGGTCGGGACCCCATTTGGGGTCGAACGACCATTTCACGGGGGTCGCCAAACAACACAGTCCGCCATTTTTTTCCCCTTTTCCTTAGCTGTGCTACTCCCTTTTAGTCTATTGGCTTTTGAAAGCCAGTAGAATAGACTGTTGAATAGAGTCTAATTCTATTGGCTTTCAGAAGCCAATAGGAATTGTCCAGGCTGTCTCTGCCCTGCTGAGCCCGCCAAAAGTCCCATTCTGCAACCGGTGCTGCATCAGTTGAGTAGTCCTCGACTTACGACCGGTTGAGTAGTCCTCGACTTATGACCGGTTGGGGGTCGCGGCATTAAAAAGGTTGAGAACCACTGGCTTAAGTAAATTATAAGAGTACCTTGTTAAGGAAGATGTTATTTCCTGTTTCCTACGAGACACATTCACATTAACAATAAAATAGCAATAGCACTTAGACTAATATACTGCCCTATAGTGCTTTACAGCACTTGTCACTCAAATGTTAAAATGAATTTTTTCGCTATCTAATTATAATAATTTGGAAATGTAGGAACAGAATCCATTTCTATTAGACTGTTTTCAGTGTCTTTATTAGAATAATATTATACTAGAACTTCCAAGCTAATGTTTATAGTGTTGACATTTGGCACCATAATTTCAGTTTATAAAATAATCTATAATTACCAATGCCCTGCTTTCATAGTAAAGTGGTTAAAAAAGTAATGAATTGAGGAATAAGTTGTAAAATCTGTCTGAAGTCAAGGTATGGCAGAGAGGATAAAAAGCATGAAGCAGTGAAGTTAAGTCCAACAGGGTCAAAAAGATGGATCAATGATGTTGCATTTCCAGATGGTATTGGAACATTGAAAAATAAAGAGAAAGAGAGCAAATGACAGGAGAAATACCGTTTGGAAAGGCAACATCATTAATATTATGATTCACAGTCATCTTAATGACTGAGACTCCAAGTTCCAGATCTGTGTTCTATAACACATATTAATCTTAATACATTACATTTCATCGAGCCAGTTGCCAAATGTCCGAATTTTGATCATGTGTCCACAGGAATGGTACAATGGTAAGGGTGAAAAATGGTCACCTTTTTCAGTGCTGTTGTAATTCTGAACGATCACTAAATGAAAAGCTGTAAGTCAAGGACTACTTGTACAATTCAACCAATCTAAAAATGGGTCTCTGAAAGGCCCTTCTCTCGCGAGTTGCCTGGATGAAAGAGACAGACATCCCCCCCCCCTATTTTTATTAGAATTAAGTTGGAGTTTAGTCAGATTTAGTCATGGCAAACGTTCTTGATATGCTCTACAAAAGGCAACTCAATTTCAATAGCTACGCAGCAATTACTCAGTGTTGGCAAGCTCTGCATACTGCTTCCAATCACCCCATATAGAAAACAGTTATTATTCCATGAAAAAGTTCCTCCAAAATGATACCTTAGCCACAGAAGGTAATGCTGATGCCCAGTTCTTATACTTGGAAAACCTGGGATATCCAACAGCTTTCCTCAGATAGCAATCATGTATTTCACACGTATGGAGGATATATAGTCCACAAGCAACTGCATAGCCTCCCCAATTGGCAACACCTGCCGCAGAAAAGTGCCATTAAATAAAATGTTTGAGCTAAAACAACTGAATGGTACTTAATAATACAAAGGACCAGCCTATAACTGAAATTTAGCACAAGTAATGCTTGGACAACAGGAGGAAACGCAGCTTTCCCCATCATTTCTAGGATCAACAGAATCTTGTTGTGCTTTGGCTTATTTGTTCAGAGAGTAATAGGTTGATCTATGGCTTTTAGAGCAACAGTATAATTTGTTCCTGACCTTCTAAAATCTGGTTTAGATTATTTTCAAAACATGCACCTATTAGAGGGGCCTAGATAATTTGGATTCCACTTAGTATTAGTTCTACCCAGCATGAACAACAATCAGGGCATGGAATTTTATTACTTATTTAATTTGAATTGTGCTACCCTGATTACAGAAGAATAATCTCCAGGTCCCAAGGTCCCTAAAACCAACAATCACTTAATCTTGTAACAGGTAAGTTAAAGCCTATGGTTTACCATCCAGACCTCCATAACTTCCAGGCGTAGGGAAAGAACTTTAATGGCATCACCTGAATAGACCAGGGGTCTGAATAGCTTCAGCATACTTATGATAATTAACTCCACAAGACTGTCCCCCCACTTCCAAGCTCTTAAATTGCTCCAGAACAATATCATGATCAAAGGTATTAAAGGCTGCTTGAAGATTATGGAAGGCCACCCCCATTTTAAGCCGTACAGAGGTCATCAGCAAGTATGATCAGTGCCATTGCAGTACTGATCTGAAATCTGCCTGAAAACCTGCCTCTCTGTATAATCCGCTTCCTCTGGCACAGGAAATCTTCCACCTTCTCAATCACCTTCTCTAAAGTAGGTTAGAAACCAGATGAAAATTGTCCAGATTCATTGCATCTAAAAATGGCTTCTTGCGAAAAGAGCAAACCACAGCTTCCTTCAAAAGAAGCGGAACCATCTCCTCCTTCAAAAACGCATTCAGTTAACCTCCAAGAGGTTTGATTTAATCTGGATAAGAAAGCAGTGGAAGCCATTTTTTCCAGCTTAAAGGAGGATCACGCACGGATATAACAGACCCTGCTAGCCTTTCAGATGATCTTGAAGACCTGGCTATGTGCCAGGGCCTGGGGTCCCAGGTGTTTCCTGGCTATGTTGACAACAATGGCTTATAATATCTCTTGGCTTCTATTTGTATTTAATTCTTTTTTGTACTGTGTTTTTTTTTTGGTAAAACTGTGTTTTAACTGTTTTGTTTTTATGTATACTCACTGCTCTGAGTCATTGGTTTGAGATAGGCAGCTACACAAATTGAATAAATAAATAAATAAAATAGTGGCACAGAAGTTTGTGGAAGGGAGACTTTTATATTGTAGCACTTGTGGTTTGAAATACTTCACAGAGAATTGGGGAAACAGACCAGCCTCTATACTGCCAACTTTTTTGCAAGGACTTGAAAATGTGGTTCTGTTCCAGGGCATGGAGGTAAGATTTCTAGTTGGAGCCCATGAGATGCTATTTTAATTCTAGTTTGATTTTTTTTTCTTATCTTGGCTGTCAGTTATATAATCTATTTTGATACTGTTCTGTTTTTAACTGTTGTTATAGCTGTCCAGAGTCACCATTATGGCAAGATGACAAACAGCTTATTTAATGATTTAGTTATCTAGGTGATGACTGAATACAATAATCAGAAAAGGTAATGGAGCTTTTTTTTTAGTTTCTTATGATTTTGCACATGTGCCTGGTTTGGCTTGTTCAAGTCTTACCTGCAACAACCGCAAAATCAGCTTCCACGTCACAAGCTATGATATCTCCATTTTTAATATGCTTCTTTGTGGCTTCTTTTACTTTTCCCATTCCTAATTCATTTCCTCCATCCCCAATACCTAAATTAAAATGGAAAAATTTACATTGGAATATTACAGTACTAAATGTAGATTTTTATATCAATGATCCCTGTAGAAAATCTAATGAAAAATTAAAAATCAGTGGAACTGTTAATATTATGTACAGTAAATAAACCTTTTATTTACAGAACTGTCACATGCCTACTGTGACAACTTCCCATGAAAACTGCACTCTGGGTAACCACTAAAATACCCCAGCTTTATTAATCGTGCATATTAAAATTTGTATCTGCTTTCACAGCTACAAAGAAAGATAATTGAATGAAACATCTTATTGGAAAATTTAGACTTCTTCCATTTCTTTCTCCATCAATTTTGCCAGGATGAGAAAATAATCAAAATCGTAAATGTGATTGGAAATTTGAACTGTTGCCTAAATTGCTGACTTATTAATATTAGCATATGTGCATGTTTATCCATCTGCAAGTTTAGGTAAAAAAACTCTATAATATCAGAATAGTTGGGACATATAGTTGGTACTAATGTATATATCAATTAGGAATTGATATATACATTAGTACCTGGCAGGTGGTACGTGATCCTACATAGCCTAGCCAAGTGTAGCGGGGGAGGGAATGAGCCAAAGCGGCGCAGCGCAGGACTTGCCATGAGAGAGTCATTGGGAGCTGCAGGACTGCTGGGGCAAGACAAAGGCCCCAGGATCGGCACTTCTGGCTCTCCCAGAAGAGAAAGGAGGAAGGGGTGGAGACAGGAGAAGCTATAAAAGGAGGCAGTTTGGCGGGAGAATGGGAAGGATTTGGAGAGACCAGTGCCTGAGAATGGGAAGGCTTTTTGCAGAGATCTCTGTGTGAGAATGGGAAGGCTTTTGCAGAGACATGTATGTGAGAAAGAGAGAAAAAGCTTTTTGTGAGAGAAGCAGTGGGGAGAAGAGAAGGAGATGGGAATGAGAAAGAGAAAGAGGGAGGCAGGGAAAGAGGGAGGGAAACAGGAAGGGAATGAAGGGAATGGGAATGAGGAGGGAGGGAGGGAAGGAAGGAGGGGAGGGAGGGAGAGAGGAAGGAAGGAGATTGGTATGAGAGGGGGGGGTGGGTCTGAGGGAAGTCCTATCTTAGCACTTGGCCAACAGCAGCCCTTCTGCCCTTTCACCATCCCCTTGCCCCCTCCTCCTGGCCTATCCTGGTGATCTCCCATCCTATTGCTGAGGATGATTTGGTTACAAATCTGGGTCTCCTCACATGGAGAGGGAATGGGCCTCCCTCTGACCCATCATGAGCAGCCTGGCCAAGGAGAGCGAGCACAGCAGCAGCAGCAGCCTCGAGGAGAAGGTAGGCGCAGCCGGATGCCCCCTCGGGGAAGTTGAGCTGGACTGGGTTGGGCTGCAGAGTCCTGGTGCCCCAGGAGGTCGAAGGCTGGGCTGGGCACTTGCCCTCCGCTGCCCAGGACTCTGGGCAGCCCGCACCACTGCCTGGGAATGCCCTGGTGGACCATTTGTTAAATGAGTTTTGCCCCATTTTACGACTTTTTTTGCCACATTTGTTAAGTGAATCACTGCAGTTGCTAAATTAGTAACATGGTTGTTAAGTTAATCTGGTTTCTCCATTGACTTTGCTTGTCAAAGGGTTGCAAAAGGGGATCATATGACCCTGGGACACTGTGAGCATCATAAATATGAATCAGTTGCCAAGTATCCAAATGTAAGTCACATGATCCTGGGGATGCTACAATGGTCATAAGTCACTTGTAACTTTGAACAGTCACTAAGTGAACTGTTGTAAGTCGAGGACTACCTGTACTTTATCACTTTTTTCCTTTTTTTTGTCATCAAGCTTTTGACACCTTGCTAGGTGATTTGTGGTACTTGAATATTGTCATATCCTAAAAGTGGTACAATCAGTGAAAAGGTTGAAAAGCCCTGATATATACCATCATAGCCTGGCCAAAACATAACAGCCATTATCTTTAAGGATTACAAAGCAACAATTATAATAGTTATTATAATTATTTGGGTCTTCTAAAAAAATCACAGAATACATGTTTTCAAACTTGACCAAATGTTAATGTATGAGATAAATTCTATTTAAAATCGTATAAAGTTATTAAGGAGATACTCCCTCCCAGCATATTCTAAAATATGCTACTGATACCATTAAACTTTATTACTTAGTTTGATCAATCGTGACACACATGGAGCATTGCATTTTATTTCACCATTGTCTAATTAGCTTTATTGAATTTTCAATTAAAATAAAATTGCTTCTGCTGAATAATTCCAATAGGCATGTAATTTTTATGTATTTACAATTTTTGTACATGTGTGTACAAACCAAACTGACCACAAAGCACCCATACTTTTTCACTTATCATTTCTTTACTTCCCTTCCACTACATCAATATACTGAAATAAGATGTCACATCTGCTGTATGTTTGCATATGCATTTTCTCCTCAAAGCCCGAACTGGGTGTGTATTCCTGGCCTCCCCTTATTTTGAGGAACATCATTGACATGTTGAATTTATATGTGTCTACTTTTGTCCCAGAAATTGGAAATTGCTCTAATAGAAATTCGTATTTATTTATTTTATTTTATTTATTTATTTATTTAATTTATTTATATGCCGCCCAATCCCAAAGGACTCAGGGCGGCGTACAAAATTAAAACAATCATCGAGAATAAAACAATAAAATAATTCAATCATACCGCAAGTCCGATCATGTCCCGCCCCCCCCAGGGACATCAGCCCCAGGCCTGCCGGAACAGGAGAGTTTTAACGGCTTTCTTAAAGGCCGGCAGGGTGGGAACCTCGAACCTCGGAGGGAAGTTGATTCCACCAGGTCGGAGCCACCACAGAAAAGGCCCTTCCCCGAGGGCCCACCAGCCAACATTGTCTGACTGACGGGACCTGAAGGAGGCCCAATCTATGGGACCTCACCGGTCTCTGGGAACTGTGCGGCAGTATGCGGTCCTGTAAGTAACCTGGCCCTATGCCATGAAGGGCTTTAAAGGTGATAACCAACACCTTGAATTGCGTCTGGAGACCCACAGGAAGCCAGTGCAGCTCGCGGAGGATAGGTGACACGTGGGCGTACCTTGGCGCGCCCACAATCACTCTCGCGGCTGCATTCTGAACCAACTGCAGCCTCCGAACGCTCTTCAAGGGTAGCCCCATGTAGAGCGCATTACAGTAATCCAGTCTTGAGGTGACGAGGGCATGAGTGACTGTGAGTAAAGCCTCTCGGTCCAGATAAGGCCACAACTGGTGCACCAGGCGAACCTGGGCAAAGGTCCCCCTGGCCACAGCCGATAGATGTTGTTCCAAATTTAGCTGTGAGTCCAGGAGGACACCCAAGTTGCGTGCCTGCACTGAGGGAGGTAAATTTGCCCCCCCCAGGACTAATGATGGACCATCCAGTTGACCTTTGGGAGGCAAGACCCAGAGCCACTCGGTCTTGTCAGGGTTGAGTCTAAGCCTGTTCACCCCCATCCAGACCCTCACATCTTCCAGGCACCGGCACATCACATCGACTGCTTCACTGAAAGGACACGGGGTGGAGATATATAATTGGGTATCATCCGCGTACTGATGATACCTCACCCTGTATCGCCGAATGATCTCACCCAGCGGTTTCATGTAGATGTTAAAAAGGAGGGGGGACAGGACCGAGCCCTGAGGCACCCCATGATCGAGGCGCCTAGGGGTCGATCTCTGTCCGCCCGCCAGCACGACTGTGAACATTTGAAACCTTAAGAGAGTTAAATATTACTTATCAATTTGAGCACCAATTCTTTTGTCTCCCCTCAGTTATTTCAGTTGCATAATGGACCCGGTTCTTAATGTCTTCAAGTAGTTCATAGTAACAGTAATACTTTTATCAGATCATTGAAGGAAAATACACATACTGTACCTGTAGTAGTAATTCCTGGGAGAGTTTGTGCAGCTATAAAGAGTTCATCAATGGGATCTACTAAATGTTTAATATTAACTTTTCTTGCGTTATAGTAATTACCATCAGTAGCCACACCAGCACGTTCTATTGCTATTAAATGATTAAATCTAAAGAAAAAAAAATAAAAAAAGAATTAAGATTCAATTCTAATGCTAATGATACCTTGACGTACCCACCATTACTCATTAAGGCTTCTCAATTCAAATCAGAAATACAAGTTGCAACAATTTTGATGAAAATGTGGTCACTAATAATAAAAGTTATTGAATGAAATGATTAATATCACATTAAATTATCCTGTGGCGAGTTGGCTACAGTGAGTTGGCTGCGGCAAGCTGTCCTAGACCCCTCTGAGATATGCTAGAGTTTGGCATTACTTTGCTTTTGGGGACATATACCTTGGTTTTTCTGGATTCCCATCTTCACATAAGAACTGCAGAGCTGAATCTGGAGAATTGCTTTGGTAACTGATTACAGGAACTGGTGTTTCCAGTATTTCTAGAATATAGAGAAAGACAAAGGTAAGTTGGATCATGACATTAATCATGCCATTGTTAGGCCTGTGAAGAGGGTCCTCCAGGCATGCAGGAGCTGCTGTGCCTTCAAGCACCTGCACTTACTTCCCTCCTACAGCCTGTGGATTCAGAGAGAGAGAGATGTTGCTAAAGAGCAAAGAGCCTCACCAAATAATCTGCACATGCCTGATCACTGTTTCACAATTATTTGTTTTGTCTTCCCAATATTAAATAGGATCAGTTGTGTGGCTGAAATTTTCAGGACATTCTCCTTCTTTGTAAAATAGGATGAATGTAAAGAAAGATGTGACTAAGTCAGACCTAAACATGTGGAAATTCTACTGATTTCAATAGAAGAATATTAAAATGTTTTTAACAAATTTTTTTAAACCAAATTATTTCTGTTTTTTTATACCTTGATTAGATTATTCCCAGTTCATTTGCTCAGAATAATTAAATCCCACAAAATACTGGGTGAAATATTTAATTGCAATATAAGACCCCCTCCCATTTTAAAAGGAAATATTTTGGTGGAAAAAAAATGTTGTCTTTCTTTCAAGTAAACGGAATATTCACTGTAAGAAAGCTTAATTATATGTCCTAAATCCATCCCCATTTCTCTTCTCAAAAAAGAAACAAAGAAACAAACAAAAAACAACCCCCAAACCCCAACAATTATGAAGGAAAAACTGGTGACAGATAAAGGTCATTCTAACAAGAGTAAAGATGGGCAACTATGGCCCCTTTACAACCTGTGGGCTTCAACTACCAGAATTCCTGAGCCATAGGTGCCTACCCCTGAAGAAGAGCATCTGCAGGGAAGAGGAGAGACTGGGACCAAGACAAAGATGGCAAGCACAACCATGCATCAAAGCTGTCCCTTTTGTGCATGTATGCAACACTGATACATGTACAACGGCCAAGATGCACCTGCCATCTTGACTTTTGTACCCTTACCCTTATGAATACCTCTTCACTCCAATAGCATGAGGTTCATATTTGTTACTTATGGAACTCAAAAGAGTTTTCCATATAATTAATTCTATTGGGGTTCATGGGAGATACAGATGCTAAAACTTCTTTCCCCAGATAAATACCTTTTACTGATAAAAACATATATGATATGACATATTATATGATGAAAACATATTGTATGTTCTATGTTCTAAGTACTGGAAATTAGAGTTACTATAGGTATCACTATATTGAACTCTGATTGAGCTCCAATGGAATTTGACCTGGCTCAGAGCAGTCTTGGGAATTCTGAACTGGTATAGCTTACTTCAGATTTTCCTGGTTATCACATCTTGATCCTTGAATGGAACAGGCCAAATTCTAAACACTAGTTTTATACATATTTAAAGGGATCTAGTCACAGATAATACACAAAAACCTATCAGCTCTCAGTGGAGGAATGGAAGAGGAAAACCTCAAAGATTCAGACTGCTGTACTCTATGCTGAAAGACACTCTTTACTAACCACAAGGGTTAGATTCACACAATGCATTACACCAGAACCAAGTAAGGCTACCTGAGGAACCATCTCACCCCAATAGGCTTGACCTGCTCCATTTCTATCAGCAGAAGGGGCATGCTGTGGATTCCATCAGCCAAGGAACTGCAGCTGGCGGAGTCCAGGAGAACAAGCTTTTTCTGCCATGGCTGCCACCCTTTAAAATATCATCCTCCTAGAAATAAGATCTGCCTCCATCCTCTTGGCCTTCTGTAAGTGACTAAAAATCCAGCTCTGCCAACTGGCTTTGGGCCCTCCAGTCTGAAGGTGCTAGTAGGTTAGATAAGATCCCACCTCCACCCCAGTTACACACTGATCCTTTATTTAATTTACTGATAATATTAATCATTTCAGTTTTAAGATTTGATGTTTTAATGTTTCTATTTTAATTTTTATATTGCTTTTGTGCTACTGTAAGTCACTCAGAGTCATTTGATGGTAAAACGGAGGCATACAAATTCAATAAATGAAGAAAATAAACCACCTTATAGTTTAGAGCAAGGGTAGGCAACCTTGGCTCTATTATGGACTTCAATTCCCAGAATTCCTGAGTCAGCTATTCTGGGAGTTGAAGCCACGAGTCATAAAAGAACTGAGGTTGCCTACCCCTGGTTTAGAGTGATAAATGCAGTAAAGCCAACCTAGTAGATTTACCTAGATATTTGTTGTGATGCTGGCAAGAGTTTTAAATATATTTTTTTTACAAAACACTATCATAACTATGTAATTTCCGATCACATACTGGCAGTATTGTCATAATACATGCATTTGAGAATTACTACTCTAGATTTTAAAACAGGAACATAAAAAAGAAGTCAACAATAAAAAAATGAAAATGCACAATGTGGACAGTTTCAATTTTTAAGACACTGAAACCCTCTTTCTATAGGCTATAACGGGCCATGTCATACCTTGCTCAACAGCTTCCTTGATTATCTTTCTATTTAAATCGAGAGCTCTTTGATCCGTTACTATAACTACATTTTTTCCCATGGCTTTCAAGATTGCTGCCATTGCAATGGCTCCAGGTGGCCCATCATTTTCTTCAGGAGGTTCATACTTGAAATGGGTGGGAAATCCTGTAGTAATCAACACCGACTTTGCATGGGAAAGCGACAGGCAGGCCTTTAGAAGTTCATCCGGAGAAAACAGATGTTTCACACCTCTGTTCCCTAAGCATGGATAATACAAATATTTTAGACTAAGAACATCCTGAGGATACTGGCTTGCCATGGACATTTATTTAAAAATAAAACTAGCTTGTTTTGATTGCTGATAGATAAAAAAAAATCTTAAAGCTGACAGATGCAATGGCTCACAGTATCAGGAAGTGAGACAGAAGAGAAGATTTCAGAGCTGCTATACCAGATTTTTCTTCTTGCCTCAAGGAGCACATTATTTGTTTTGGCCTCCCTCTGATTTTTTTATCTCTTCAAAACAACATTTGATACATCATTCATTCATATTCTATAGAAAGTCTCTGCAAAGTTGAGCTACAAGTTAAGTATTAACTTAAATGATGACCTAGGGCTAAAAGGGTAGTTTGGAAATAAATGCATGCATTAGAGGTAGGATTTTTTATTCAGTTTTTGCTTTTGACAGGATTGCTGCAGAAAATTATACAGAGATTGCCTTTTCTAGTAGATGTTTTAAACTCATAACATGGTTGTGTTTTTTCTCTTACCTGGATCTATCGCTATTATATTTTCTAAGCATATAATTTTCTTTACAGCTGCTGTTGAAGCAATGCTATAATGCAAAGGATTCTGAGAAATACAGTAGACTTCAGGGAGATCTTTATCATTACCAGATGCATCATCTTCAATTTCCAAATCAGTGATAAACATGCAACCAGGTGAATGGGTAAAAGCCAGTGGAGCCTCTGGGAAGTAAAGAAAAGCTCAGTAAGCAGTGTACAGCAGGAATTAAAGCCTTTCTGTCTGCGATGAGTTTGATCATGTGAATTTTGAGGACATGGGCAGAGTTCTCAGAGCCATTAGTGCAATCACCTATAGGTTAGCTCCATGTCCTGGGATAAAATGGTGGTGAATTTACCCTTGAGTGAAGGGTGGTCCCTTTTGTTCTGAAAATACAGTGATGCACTGTCTCCTTAAGAAATTATAGCTGGTCCCCCAAATAGTGAACATTTGTCTAGTCATCAAACCTCTGCTTTGGGAGAAAGGATATGAAAAAAGTGATGTGCGAGAAGAGATAGTCATGAATGAAAATATAATAAATGAATATCAACAGAATATAACAGTGGGTGCCCAGAAAAAAGACCAAATACATGACTATTTTACTACTGCATACTCTATAGCTGGTAGAGTCTGGTAGCTCCTTAATTATTAAAAGGTGTAAATTTTATTAAAAGGTGTAAATTTTCATGAGTTGCCACTTAATCGGATACAAAGAGTGTCTAGGCTGATACAGGTAATCCTCAACTTACAACAGTTCATTTAGTGACCATTCAAAATTAAAATGGCACTGAAAAAATTGATTGATGACTGTTTTTCACACTTACGACCATTGCAGCATCCCCATGGTCATGTGATCAAAATTCAGATGCTTGGCAACAGACTCATATTTCAAGTGTCCTGGGGACATCACCTTTTGCAATTTTCTGACAAGCAAAGTCAATGGGGAAACCATATTCATTTAATAACCATGTTACTAGCTAATCACTAATTGCAGTGATTCACTTAACGATAGATAGATAATAGATAGAAAAACCTGATCTATAAGAACCTTGAAAACAAAGAATTATCAAACATCAACCTGAATTTGTCAAGAATATACCTTGCTACACTATTCATGTGTAACATGTAACTTTCTCAGTAGAACACAAGGATGTTAAAATCATAATGTACTTCAGCAAAGCATTTGATAAATTACATAGTAATTAGCAAATTTGTATGGACTGGTTGGCATGACAAGTAGATATTCAGCTAGCTCAATATCCTATTCCAAGAATGTTCATCAAATGGTTCCTTATCACATTGGCAAGATATCAAGTATTGGCTCATCTATTCTTCATTATTTCATTAATGATTTGGATAATGAATTATAAGGAATGCTCATAAATTTGCAGTTGATGACCAGCTTATAGCTTATTTTCTAAAGATAGAAACAAAGTAATAGTGTTTAGTCAAAATCTCAAACAAATGATCATAATTTTTATTAGGAAATTTTAGAATTGCATCAACAGAATTTCCAAATCATAAGAAACAACCACTCCATTGTGTTCTGATTTGATAAAAGTTTCTAAAATGTATATCATAAATAAGTGGATCTCAGGTAAATACTGCCTTACCCCTATCGTGGCTGGGTACACAGAAAAAAGAAATGTAATTCTTAAATGCTTAGCATGTAGGAAGAATCCAAATCATAACATTATTTTACAGGACTATTCTGTGCATGATTAGGGGAAAATTATAGCTTTGTGGAAAAAATATTCTGCAAGGTTAAGTTCAAGGAAAAAGAGAGGATTATCAGAGTTGCTGGTTCTTTTATGTAGGTTATATTTTAAAGTCTGGACACATGAGAAAGCAAGACTCAGCGCAGAAGACCTTGAGGCTTGGAAAAAAACAAAAGCAATTGTAGAAGAGGCCAACAGAAGAGAAGGCTGATATTATCACAGATGATGTGAGTATGAGCTTATATAAATCCAAAGAAGCAATTACTGCAAGTATATTTGTCCACTGAGTCATGAACAATCAGAAGTGACCAAACAACAACTTTTAAGCATCACTGGTTTGCTGTAATAAAGCAGCAGTTCTGGTAATTCCACTAAATACTTACTGCAATTGATGACAGCTTCTATTCCTGTTACACCACAGGCCCAAAAGACTGGTACATCTCCAGGATGAGCTTGAACTGCATCACCAAATTCTGGACTGGAAAGATCTTTAATTCCTAACAAATCTAAAATGAAAATTTATTAATACTCAAGCAGAAATGTAGAAAACAGCCACTTGTCTGAAATGGTATAGGGTCTCCTGCTTCAGCAGGGGGCTGGACTAGGACCTTCCAAGGTCTCTTCCAGCTCTATTCTATTCTAAAACCCAATTAGGCTGAGGCTTAATGTTGCAAAACATCTGACAATTCCCTGGGAGAGAGCCTGGGATGTGGCCTGGAAAGTGATATTGGTGGGATACTGTTGCATAGGATACTGGCATCACAATTCCTAGTAAGATCTTGGCTGAATTCTTTTAAATCCTCTTACTTGTACATACTGTCATTACAAAACTAGACTGTACATTAGTAAGCCAGACAAGCCTAAGGTTTGTTACTTTTCTATCTCATGCATGCTTTGTATTATAGATCATAGAAACACAGGAAAAAAAAATACACTGACCAGAAGAACCAATGTGAACTGGTGCTCCATGTGATTTTTTCATTGGATGAGTGATTTGCACACACTCTTTCAGTTTATCTTTAGGTATATATCTCATAGTTACTATTAGATTACAGTGAAAATATTCGGTATCACAGCAAGGAACAGCAGTCTGGTAAAGTTTTAAAAAATGATCCAAGCATTAAGAACAATGAAGCAATCTCCAAAGGCTTTTTCTTACAAGTAGAAGGCACCATATCTCTGAGATAAATGCAATTGGGTGATAAAAGGCCACAAGATTAATCACTAGCATGTTCAGTTGCCTTCACCCACATATCATTTATTATCACCTTTATGAATCATATGGTGTGGTATTTAAGCTCATGCCATTGCTACTGCTAACTTTCCCTTTAATTGCATGGTCACAGCAACTAAACATTGAAACATTAGATAAATTAGTAATGTCATATTAGATTTGTTTTATTTTTGAATAGTATTAAGTTATAAATGTTTCAAGAACATATTTTGCAACTAAATAAAAATAGTGAGATATTACAGTAATAGAGATTCAGCATGAAATATAAGATTGTCGTCCCACAATAACCAGAAGTGAGAATACAGATTTTATTGGTAAAGATATTCCTTGTAATTAAACTAATCGCAACATGAAAACAGGTGTGGTTAATCACATGCTGATCAGCTTATTCATTTTGATTCCTTTGCATTGAGAAAGGAATCAGACTATAGTACTTGTCAATCAAATAAAAGGGGAAGCTGAGCAAATTGAATGCTTTATGTCTTGTGCTGTGATTAATAGCTGATCCTGAGAAATATTTTGCATTTGTTTAGAGAAAAAGGCAATTTTTCCTTCAGCTAAGAACGGGTTATATCACTAATAGCGAAAACTACCTGCTTGTGACTACAAAAATCCAAATGACCATCAGATGGCAGCAAAGAATTATTATTTTTTATATCTATCTGTTGCCCTCTGATGGTTATTTGCTTGCTCTGATGAATTAATCTTCATTAATTCATCTTCATTAATCAAATACTTATATGTTCTGAAACAAAACTGAATTTTCCAAAGTAATGCTTTAATCACTTTGTACATTTGGAAATATTTAGAAATAATTTCAATACTTCATAGGCCCCATATAGTTCCAGGACTTTAGAAGGCATAGAAAGAAAACACTATTATTTATCTTATTGTTGGAGTAATTACCTGGTTCGTGTTAATGGGTGGGAATACTTCTGTCACATTGCAACTAAAATGGCCTCTCTTCCTATTTTTTTTAATAAGCAGTGAACACATCCAGCCAAGAGAAATAAAAAAGATATCTAACATATTACAAATCAAATAATTCTATATTTGACAGCAATTGAGTAAAACAATACTGAAGTTATCAGCTAAAAAAAGAAATAAAAAAATGGAAAGAGTGAAATAATTGGCTGTTCTGCTCACTAGAGGCTAGAAAAGAGCATTAGAATTTTGTATGTACCTATGTGCAACCTAAGAATGCCTACTCGCATTCTTTCTGAGCTAATACAAATTATTATTTCTATTGTATCTGCAACTATTTATATAGTATTATGTGTATTAAGAAACATCCCCAGCAGGTGGCAGTACTTGGCTAATGTTGTTTGAGTCTACAAGCTAATGGGTGTTTGAGCCACATTAATACTTGGATGGGAGATCTTCAGGAGATACTGTCCCAAAGGTGCTTTTTCCAAAAGGGAACTGGACTCTCTTGGTTTTTTCCTATGCAATTTTTTCTTCTATTCTTACCTTATACATGCTTACATTACATTTCTGTTCCACATTTCTTACAGGAATGCCAGCTTTCTGGAGTGCCTTTTCAAATGTAAAACTACAGCCTAGATAAAAGGTCACCATGTCTTTAAACTGTTCAGAATATTCTTTTAGATTTGTCAAAATTCCTGTGGATATTCCATGTTCATATTTCTTGTATTGCAAGCAGTCACTTCTGAAAAACGAATTACAATCGTCATTGGACTAGGTACTTTATTTCTGACTCTTAACAAAATATCTACTTACTTTCAGAGAAATGGTCACTGAACTCAGTGGGACATATTTTTAAGTAAAATGTCATGTCATCTAGATTAGTTTAAGGATCAGTTCTTACGTATAAAGGTATGTAAATGTTGAGAAATAGAATCACACTGCCTGCACAAAAAATTGCACTCGTGCTTTGCACTTTCCTGGGTCATGAGAAAACATTATAACTTAGTTTTATTTTAAATCTCTCTCTCCCTTATAATTCACATACTTATAAAAACTGTGCAACCCTACATTGTGTTTTGAAAATTAAAAAGTCTGAAATAATAGAAAACATTGAGATTTTTGCAGTAAAGTAGCCTGAATGCCCAGAAATGGTAAATGGCACTAAAATATTTCTTGATAGTTTCCAACACAGACAACTCTATACATACCTTATATCAGAACTGTTGCTCAAGAAAGGACATTTCCATTCCCCTGGCTTACTTCTATACAGCAAGGGAAGTGGTCCATCATTTGCTTGACAAAATTTTTCAAAGTCATCAGCAAAAGATTTATGTATAATTACAACATTTGCCTGTACAAATCCTGTAAATATAAAAAGGCAGAAGTTTAATTTAATGTTATTTACTCAAATAAAAATATTTATCATTTTTTGGATGTAATCAATCATAAAAGTGAAAAATATATTTCTGATATAGTGATGTATTTACTTGCAAGAACATCTTTTGTATCAAATTCTTTCTCCCATGTTGCTTGCTTAGATATTGCCAATTATGCACATATCTCACATTCAGATTAATTGACAAAGGTATAGATAAATCATAAATTTATCTCACATGTTCTCAGCATAATTTTTAAATAACATTCTATTTCACCTAATCATCAATGCTCTTATATTCTATGATTTAATAAAATTCGGTGTCACCTTAACAGTGACACAGAAAGAACGAATTTTAGTAGGCTGCAAAAATTTTGTTTTGCTTCCATGTAGGGGTTGTCTGTTTGTTGCAATCAAGATTTGCTGTTCCTTTTTAAATCTAACATTTTGAATTTTAAGTATAACTAAACTAAGAGTAACCTTACTTAACAGAATGAAAATCTCTGTATAAATGGAGCATAGTATCCTCCACTCAGTGTGACTGTGGGGTCCCATGTCAAACTGCAGAGCATATTGTGACTGTCCAGTATCTGTTTTTTTTTTTTTAATTTAAACAATGCTGCACTTCAATGGTTATACGGCCTAGGCATTAATACTTGAATGTATATATCTTTTTGACATTTATATTTTATTGGGTTCTATTAATCTAGCTGAAATGTTAACTTATATTGCTAGTCCAGGTATAATATGTCACATACTAAAGAAATAACAGAATGAAATTTAAATCTGAATAAACATAAATAATATTTTACTGAATGTTACTGTAAACACTTTAGTACTGTATGTTTCAGTCTCAAACCTTTCATGAATCCCAGCTGAGTCCATTAGTCACCTGGGCTAAGCCAATCAAACAGGCTCTACCTCTTTGCAGTGGGCTGGCATGAAGAACTCCAGGGCAAGGGGGCATGGTCTGAGCATGACAAGTGAGTGACTTTAATTTCCTCCAAACCTAGAGCACTATGTCACTATCCCAACATAAAAACTAATATCTAGTGTGTAACATCCATTGTGGATTGGACCGTTAATAATTTGGATGAGGTCCATGGTTGCCATGGTGGCCACAAACTCCTGTGCCTGATAGGATAGCCACAGCCATTCCCTTACCTGTGCCCTGAGATTGTGGTATATTTCACAAAGAAATTTGGCCTGTGAAAGAAGGTCCTGGCTGGTACAGTAGTGGCGTGCATATAGGTGGCATATAAGCAGGCAGCCAAAAAGACGAGGGTGGGGATAGGGAGGGGGGAGTTCGAGAAGAGGCAGTCTCTTATTTTACTGAGGCTCAAGGCTAGGAATGGCTTAGATTTGGGGGGGGTGCTTGTCTAACCAGTGGTAGATTCAGTTAAGAATGGCAATCGGGACTGCTGGAATTGCTGCCGCTAAGTCATACAATCACATGATGTCACACATTATATTGCACTGCTTAGTGATGCAAATTCATTCCCAATTACTGTCGTTAACTGATTACTTGTACGTACTCAGAAGCATCTCTTCCTGGTTTTGATTTTAAAATATTGCCAGGTAACATCCTGCCGAAGACTCATAAAATTCACAAGACAATAAAATATTTTCCACCATTTTAAAATCAATACCATTACAGGAACAAAATCTTTGAGAGATGCTACCATAGCAGATTTGAGGTAAGAGATTTAAACTGGTTTTTGAAAAGATTATTTGAATGTACTTAAAGTATGAAAATATTTAGGAAGCTAAAAATACATTTGTAATTCCAAAAGTTTCACATGACCATGGAAGTTTGGATTTAGCCATTAATTCCTGTAGTGATCTGTCCCATAATCTTTGTTTAATACAATGAAATGCTGAGGTCCTACCCCTGGAAAATAAATAATTATGATCAATACCAATCTGACTAATCTTGAGGTAACCTGCTTAAGCTACATATCTATAAAAGATTCATTTGGAATTTCATGAAACAGCCCTTCTTTGTTGCAAAGATGTCTATTTGCAACCAAAACTTAATATTAAAATGTCACCATCAAGGCAAGTCTGCACACCAGATATTCACTTTGGTGCCGTCATAGGAAGTCAAAATAGAAACAGGTAAATCATAAGGTTGAAACGATGAATAAACAATAAACCCTGTGCTGACAAAACAACAAGACAAGACAGATTGAGTTTGATGTAGTGATTAAGATGCTGGCCTAAAAATAGGAGATGGTGAGTTCTAGTCCCACCTAAAGCATGAAAATTGGCTGGGTGACTTTGGACCAGTCATTCTCTTTCAGCCCAATCCATCTCACAGGATTGTTGTTGTGGGAAAAACAGGAGAAGAAAGGAATATTAGGTATGTTTGTCACCTTGAGATATTTACAAAGGCAGGATAATAAATAACTATTAATCAGAAAAAGAGCCTCACTCTAAACGAAAAATTAAAATATGGAAATACAGGAGGGAATATTGTGAGTAGCTTTGCCTTTATCTGCCACTGCCAAGTGCAAAACTTGAGTTGTTAGTGTTACACCTGGATGACCCTCCCCCTTCCCCTCATTCCATTGAGTTGCACAAGTTTAAAATTACACAACAGCTGCAAAGTACAAACTGCCTAACATTTCCTGTTTTTCTTTTAAGTTTTATGTAAAAATACTTTAAAACTCCCATAGAGATTGAATGTACACTGAATAATAATGAGAACTCATAATTTCATACGGTAATTAAGATACCATTCCTTAATCTCTATTTAAACTCTGGATTGCTTAACCATAAAATGGTTTAGTTTGCCATGTAAATGTAATAACTGAATATGCTTTTATATGAATTTATATGAATTAGAGAATAGAGAGTCAAGATAATTTGAACTGGAATTTCTACATAATGCTGGTAATTTAAATAAAAATTTTGGGAGAAACATTTATATTAATTCATGAATTAATTAGTCTTCTGTTCAATCAGTTTATATGTCATTTTGAGAAAAAACATGCCTATGAAGTTCCTGTTTCATGTTAGTCTGAAGTTTGGGGAATAAATAACTAACAGGATGTTAAGAAAATAACATAAAAAATAAGCTACTGAACAGAGTCAGCTTGATTGCTCTTCTGTCAGAAAGCTAGGATGTGAATAAAATATAATTTTAAAAAAATAGTCTTAAATTTATACATAAAAATGACTTTGAGCATAGTTCAGCTAGGAATTTCCCTGCAGTGATCAGATCAGTTAAAACGTTGCCTTGTCTAAAAATTGATTAAATTTACTAATTGGATAAAATGCAATAGAATACTCATTTGTCCTTTCTCATGGCTGCAAGGGAAGGGGAGATTATTCAAAACTGTGGCATTTCACATATGTATCTTCTGGTTCATACCTGAATGTCTATAACATAGATTCCTAGTCCATCTCTTTTTTGTACTAAAACCGATTAAACTAAGAAACACAGATTTATAAGTTGAAATATTATAAATTATTTCTTAATGCACATCGAGAGTTTACCAAAAGGATTTCACTGATCTACTTTTATTTATACTTACCTTCTGCCATTCCGGAGGTATTGCTAATGTTGAGTTTATTTGATCGAATCAGATTTCTGATAGCATAAGGAAGAAGAGCTTTCAAACCTGTCAGGCAAACCATTTCTTCATCCTGAAACAAGATAAAACTATATGTTAGTTTTATAGATAGATATTATACATAGCTATTCATTAGATAGAAATTTAAACAGCCATTATTTTAAACTTCTTATAACGTTAGTCGATGAACTTTCTCTTTGAAATGGTGAATTGCTCAATTTTCCACTCCATGGATATTCTGATTATTTTCTAAAACAAATATGGCTTCACTATCTAATGAAATAGATTTTGGAGATCAAATATGAAGCATGGCACAACCCTATTAAAATATAGCTGCATAGCATAAAGGTTATTGCCTTTAATTTTAGAGTTAAACTATATTCTATATAATTATGTTCTATATAACTCTCTCACACACTTGCCCCTTAACAGTTCAAGATTAACTTCAATAAAATTTTCAGCTTTCTATAATCACTGGCTTCAGGATCTACTATTGATAAAACAATAAAATAAAAGCTCCAATAATCTTATGTCTAAGTTTACCTTTAATTTCATTGAAGTCATTATTCTAAGGAAAATAATTCCTGAAGAAGTAACACCGATTTAAAGCATGGAACATTCACTGATGTTCTTTTAAAATTAAGGAGTTAATATTTAATCCATAATTGGTTACATATTTTGAATGTTTAAAAGAATAACAATTTCTGGTATTTGTCCAAAGCAAGACTCAACTGAGTATTGATTGTTTTGTATATTTGTTACAAGTATATAGAATTTACACATTTTTGCCAGATATTTTACATATTTAGGTGAAAAATAAATTACATCATTAGTAGTTCTAACCAGAATAGAAACTGTAGTTCAACAAGAAAAGCATAAATCCCTCTATTTTAAAGAAGCAGCTGAAGTCCTTTTCATTAATTGCAAGAGAAAAAGGGAGGTGAGCAAATGAACTATGATAACCTTACCTTACAAAGCTCTCTTTACTGATACCCAACTCTACTGATGCCCAATTCCATAGTGAATTAAATTTACTTCTTCTCTGATACCATTTGAACTAATTAGGTTAACGGAATTGTTGCCCAACGGGACACAGAACAATGCAAACATTTCAGAACCACAAAAAAATACGTTGTGAAGGGAAGTTAAGAGACAGTTATTTTCATAATTTGATTATAAGCGGAGTTTTAAAACTATGCCTGAACATTTGCTGGTTTTTTGCATATTCCACATAAAAACACATATATCAAAATTTTGATTTCAGTACTAATTGATATTTACTCTATTTAAAATTGTTGCTCACGGTACTGAGCTTTTTTTCCTTATATAATGAATTCATAATCCTTTTTAATACATGTAGCTTCAATGTATTGTTTCTCACTGAACCTAATGAATTTTCTATCCTGATTAAGGTTACCAGAAGGGAGAAGTATATAATTTGTTGAATTTGTGAAACAAATTATATATTTTCACAGATAAAACGCCTTCTTCTTACGATGGGCATGGTTATTTGTAGATATTGTTGCCACAGTAGGTAAGTACATTTAACTGGCTTGTAAACTATTTCATTTCAGTTATTTTGGACATGCCGTTTTCAGCTTTTTAGAAGAAATGATATTACTATTAATGATTCTAGGATTACTCCATTTGACTTATATCTTGTAGAATGGTCTCTCCTATACAAAATGCTCATGAGAAGCACTGATTGAATCCCTTTTTTTTCAGCCTTGCTTACAGTTGTTTCCTGTATATTTTTAGATAAGTAGAATGCCACAGAAATGGGCATGTTAACATGTTAATGAGTTTGCAATACTGTAGAACTGATAGACAATCTTGCCTTTCCTGGCCAACAGATGAGCACAGAGATAAACTCAGCCTGATCAATCTGCTGAGGAGCAAAGAGTGCTTGTTTTTTTTTTCTTTTTGAAGGGAAGTTTTGCACTGAAAAAAATCTACTCTTTGTTCAGAGAGTAAACACAGGATTCTCTGTATGAGTGGCAAAGTATCTTGTTCTTTTCCATCTGTACATGTTGATCCCTTGAGTCAATCTGAGGCATCACTCAGCGAGGTGAAAATGCAGACATTTCTGCACTGACATTTATTGTTAAAAGACCTTCCTTTTTAATACATATATTAAAACAGCAACCAGAAGAAGCCAGGGTCTTATACAAAAAGCAACTCTTGTGGAAGTGAAATTATATGATGGATTTACCCCCCTCCTCAATCCATGATCTGACTTGCATCCCCTCCTGGATGTGGTCTTGAAAATAGAACTTATTCTTTTAAAATGATTATGTCTATGTCTTCTTCTCTATTCCCTTTTCCCTTCCCCATCTTTTCCACTATTTACTTTTGTATTTTCATTGTATCGTATACTATAAAACTAATAAAACTTTTAACAGAAAAAAAATGATTAGTGTTAAAGAACAGACTGCTTTTCTTATTCCTTCTATTTGTTCCCCCCCCCCCCAATCTGGTTCAAATTTCATACCTCTGTTGTGGTAGGCACTAACTTATGCAGATATAATCTGCTTGATAAAACCCTGAAATTTTAGAGTTACTTGGATGAATAACAAAAACATAGCTATACATATTTCATACATTTATTTATCTAACTATCTGCAAAAATCATAGAGTGGTAGTAGATTGGAATGTTACCATGTTAGCAATTGGCATGGTTGCAAAATAGTACTGTAAATGAATTATAGGCTGCAGCAAGAGAAGTAAAATTTCCAAATTACAGAAAATAATAATTTATTCTGCTTTGACCTATTTTAAGTTTTGTGTTCTATTCTGGACATTACACTTTAAAAGAGATTCAGAGAAACTAGACCAGTTCAGACAAGAACAATTAGACTGTTAACAGGATATTAACTAAGAAACTAAGTCCAATGATGCAAAATTTGAAGGAGCTGTATACATTTAGATTTTAACCTTAGGAGGGATATGACAACATTCTTCCAATACATTAAAGAATGTCACAGACATTCAGACTTTTCAGACTGTAGTTCACAAAATAATCACTTTAAGTTACAGATTCCATTGACTGTTCTGACCTGAAATGACTATTTTCAGTAGTTATTTTTTTCCATTTTTATGTGTTTTTAAAGAAGGTTGGGTTGCTTTAATGAACAGCAGATCTGCCATCTACATGCAAGCTTCAAAATACTTCTTTCAAATAATTTTAAAGCATGTTCAACCTATCTGTCTATGTACCTAGGCTGCTTTTACTCTGAAATATGTTAATATATAGGTTAAATCCAGTGGTCATGTTTTAGCACAAAAACAATTTTTAATACTTCCATCTCTATCTCCTGTCTTTGGGAGGTCTTATGGGATGCTCCAAAATGGATTTGTACTTGTGCTATGAAGAGAAATCACTGAAGTTTTGATGTTGATTTTGGAAGGGTTATTTTTTTTGCATATCAGTTTAAGAATACTTTGTATTTTTACTAATTTACCTAATAAACAAAATTATTTTCCTAAAAGGTTTAAAACCTTTATGTCCTGCTGAGACAATAATAAGAACAACAACACAAACTCATTTGTGGAATACTAAATGTTCTATCACTATCCTAATATTCTATCACTAGAAGCAAGGAAACTAAATATAAACATAGCTGTATTTTAGGAGCTGAGATAGTACTAATGTTTGTACCAATGGCTAATATTTGTGGGGTACCATATTATGCATAAAAACAATGAAGCTGTTGGTGCTTCTCAGGATGCTGTGGCTTCATGCCATCAATGTCCTTTTGCCTGTGCACAGAGGCACTCTTGGGTGGCAACAGTGGGGCTGGGCCTCAAATAGAGTTCTGGAGTTTTCAAAAGTTTCAGCCAGCTACCACAGCCCCCAGGCCTCTACTTCTGTCTCAGCACATTGTGGCCAGCTGCCCCAATTCCACAGCACAGATCTCCCCAAAAGGGGAAAGGAGTATACTAAAATTTACATTACATCCCCTTTTCTTTTCTTAAGCAGATAAAAGCTATTTGGTTCTGTATGAAAAGGAAGAACACTGAGCTTGGTAGGTAATTCTAGTATTAATTTAAATGACAAGTTAGAGAAAGTCATGAGGAGTTGACTGGGAAATTAATATTCTGGGAAGTTTTTAAAAAGATTGTATTATACCATTGGCAGCTAACATGATTCTTGTCAATATGTTTGTATTTTAAATGCTTCAGTACAGGTAAAGATCCCAATTTCTGATGACTTTATAAATGTGTCCATGTTAATTTATTGTCAACAATATCCACTAGCTATATGTAACTGCTAAACGTTTGTTGTTTGGAAATATAGCATTGTGAGCAACTGTCCGAAATATGGACTTTTGCCAGAATTAGCCCCAACTCCACAGCACAAGCCCCAGTTGCTATTGACCCGTGCTCCATAGCCCTACCATGTCCAGTTGACCTTTGCCAACTTTCTTCCATTGCTGCTGAGGTAGTGCCAGCCTGACCTTATGCAAAGCAACTTCTGGCTATGCCAGGCCTTCTTTCCAAATCTGCTCATACTATTCTCCAAATAGTGTACCCCATTCTCATGCTTCTGAAACCCTTTAGAAAGCATCTGAGATCTTCTGAAGCGTTGCGAGAACAGGTTAAGCTATTTGGAGAGGATCAGCTGTCCTGTGCTCACAATGTTTCAGAAGACCTCAGAAGCTTTCTGAAAGATTTCTGGAGCACTGTGAGAATAGGGTGGCCTATTTGGAGAATGATGTGTTTGATTTGGAGAATGGGGCAAGTGGTCTCAGGAATAAGGCTTGGCCTAGCCAACAGCTGCCTTGTAAAAACAGCCTGGACGTGCCTTGTCAGCAGTGAGAGGAAGATAGTAAAATTGCTGGGCTTGGCAGCAACTACACATTGCAAGGTGGTAGACAGCTGGAGCATTGAGCTTGGTGTCTGGCTGTAGTAAAGTGCCTGAGGAGTCACTCTTCAGTAAATGTTGCTAGCTACAAGTAGAGGCCTGGGGGCAGTGGCAGTCAGGTAAGACTGCTGAAGGCTCTGGGCTGCAGTTACCACCAAGTAATGCCCCTGTGCAGGGTGGCCCAAAGTGCAGGGATGGGTAAAGACAGGTAGGTTGGAGGAAGTGAAGAGCAAACAGTTTCTTACCTTACTGAGGCACTAGCCTGGGAGGGAGCCAACCGGGAATGGTTGGATCATAGTGCCTCTCACCTAACCTGTGCATTTCAGGTTTATGATAGTAACTAGGACTACCCAGGATTGTAAGCTGAGAACAACCTGCATAATATAAGAACAGTAGTAACTGTACAAAATAGCCTCTAGAGTCAGAAGCCAATGACATATACAGATAGTCCTCGACTTACATACCATTAATTTAGTGACCAAAGTTATAATGGCAGTGAAAAAAGTGACTTATGACTAATTCTTGTAATTATGACTTGTAGCATCCCTATGGTCACATGATCAAAATTTGGGTACTTGATAACTAGATATATTTATGCAGCATCCTGAGGGGGAATCACATGATCGCCAATTTGTGACTTTGCCAGCTGGTTTCTGGCAAGGAAAGTCAATAGGGGAAGCCAGATTTACTTAATGGTCATATGATTCATTTAACAATGGCCATGATTTACTTAACAATCATGGCAAAAAATGTCAGAATATCAGGAGGAACTCACTTAACATTCACTTTGCTTAGCAACCAAAATGCTGGTCCAAATTGTGGTTGTAAGTTGAGGACTACTTGTAATGAAACCAACATCTGTGCACTGTGAGTTATCAGAGATCAAGCTTGCCAGTCAACAGGATATCAAAAGCAAGAAAAAACATTTAACTTTTTCTGAAAAATTAATTGTCAGATTTCGTCTAAACTTCCGGATGAGATAAGGTGCAGTGCAAAGTAGTTTTGAATTTATTATTAAAATACATTCTATATATCTCTTATACACAGCAGAAGTACTCTCATATATTGAATTTAATTGCACTTATTCAGTTTGCTTATGAACTGTTTCATGTTTACCCTCACTTTGGCTTTTCAGAGATCAATTCCCAACTTCATATTCTGTATGAATATTAATTTCTTCTTTTATGAGAATATTATTTCTAGAATAGTTAACAACTTATAAAAAACTAGAATATTTCCCCACATTACATAAAAGTGATAGTTTCTTAACATATATATATATATATTCTGAGGCTTTCATGGGTGTTTGTATGTAGGTCTTTGGTTATTCGGGTTTTTTCCCACGTAAAATTGGAAGTGTCTTGGCGACGTTTCGACGAAGTCCCATTCGTCATCTTCAGGCTGGTGTTTTCAGCTTCGTGCTTCGAGGAGCAATGTGTGGTCTTAGCTGTTTCTTCCTTTTAACTGCCAGTGGGGGTATGAACTGATTGGGTGGGAGCTTGGCTGTGTTCTTATTGGGTGGAGGTGTGTTCATTGGTTAGGGGCTTGGCTGTGCTCTGATCCAAGACAGAGAACAAGAAAACGGCAAAGCCGTCCTCCCATACATAAAAGGCACCACAGACAGAATCAGTAAGATCCTCCATAAACACAACATCAAGACAGCATTCTGCACAAACAGAAAAATATCCACCATCCTAAGAAACCCCAAAGATAAAATTGAGTTAGAAAATCAAGGAGTATATGAAATCCCATGCACCGCTTGTCCCAACACATACATCGGACAAACCAACAGAAGAATAAATGCATGCATTGAAGAACATAAGAACTCAGTCAAAAAAGAGGAACCAACATCTTCTCTGGTCCAACACCTTAAAGCCACAGGACATGAAATTGACTTTAAAAATACCAGAACTATTGCCAAAATAGTTTTGGTATTTTAATTTGGTATTTTAATAACAGAATAATCAGAGAAGCCATCAAGATAGAAAAACGCCCACACAGCATGAACAAACCAGATGATACGTCCCGCCTACCAGCCATTTGGAAACCCGCCCTTATTGACAAACAACTCCCTAACACAAAAAATGACACCAGACCCACACTCACAAAAACCACACAGGATGTCACCACCACACATCCACGCAAAAAGCAAACCCAAAGCCACACCGATGATGAGGCACGACCACAAACCAGAAGCCAGACCACAGCTGCATCATTAGCCACATTAAAACCCTCAAATCCATACATGAAGCAAACTGACACCCTCCATCAAGATGAGGCAGACCACGAACGCGAAGCCAAAAAATAGCAAGGCAACCCACCATCTTAAACCCCCTGCAACTCAAACTAACCTGAGCACAACAAAGCCCCCACCCAAACAGAACACTCCCCCAGCCAATCAGAGCACAGCCAACCCCCCCAGCCAATCAGAGCACAGCCAAGCCCCTAACCAATCAGAACACACCTCCACACAATCAGAACACAGCCAAGCTCCCACCCAATCAGTTCATACCCCCACTGGCAGTTAAAAGGAAGAAACAGCTAAGACCACACATTGCTCCTTGAAGCACGAAGCTGAAAACACCAGCCTGAAGATGACGAATGGGACTTCCTCGAAATGTCGCCAAGACACTTCCAATTTTACGCAGGAGAAAACCTGAATAACCAAAGACCTACATACATACATACATACATACATACATACATACATACATCAGCTAATATTGCAAATAGATAGTGATTCTGTCTTGCTTTTATTAGTTCATTGCTCAAACTGAGCAACTTTGGGAAATAAATCACAAGTCTAATTATCCGTTATCAGAAATGTGCTATCAGTCTGAGTTAAACTCAGAAATTGGACGCTTGTCCTACTCCCAAATAAAAGATTTGCTCTCTCCACCAAGTTGCTTAAGCTAAAGCAGGGTTTCCATCCCCCTACACCATTTGCTTAGGATGGAATGACAGCTCCTAGGTCTATTCTGTAGTGAGACACTTGAACACAAGAAATAAATTCTAAATCAACGAAAGATATGTCAGCAATGTCGTTTCTATTTGGCTCGTTTCCTTGCCTTTCAAAATTCATCCAGCAGTTGATTAGTGGTTCATGAGTATCCTGAATTGACCTTAATGGAGCTATTTTCTATAGAGTAAACATTCCTGTCCTTCCTTTTAATGTGGTTCATTTTTATTTTTTACAGCCCGTGAATAAAGGGTGGTTTTTGGAGAGCGTAAGGATCACAGTATGTGCAATATTTCCAAGGGACCTTGCAATCGTCAAAATGTCAAGGACTTTAACTCACTCACCACGCTAATCTTCCTGCCCACGCAACCGATTACCTGCCTTTTTTATACTCAGGAGGTAAAATACTTACTCGCTGGTAGGACAGATCGAAATTGGATGAAGATTGGGGGGGGGAGGAGAAAGAGAAAGAGAGGGGGGTCAGCGCCCGCGATTGGTGTAGACGCTAAACCAATGAGGACCCGTGTCTCTTAGGAGATGATTGGATTGAAGGGGGTGTATTTGTTACAGTTTTTGACCAATCCCCAGCTTGGAGTGTAATCTCTCAGGCCAATGAACACTCAGTTCGACTCCCTCTCTTTCATTGCTTTAGTAGATGGGGGTGCAGATTGAATTTCTTGACTGTTCCAGGTTCTTTTACCCCCCGCCTTTTCTTTGGAGTGCTAGTCCCTCCCTCCCTCCTGTGGGAATGGGGGGATCGATCCGGAGGGCCTGCTTAGTGCGATGAGCGGCAGTTAAATTCGCTCTTGTCAGATGTAGGCGCCCCTTATTTATTTGTTTGTTTGTTTGTTTTAACAGACGGGAACCCTCCACCACCACCAAGTCATGGAGTACTTTTCTAAGGAATAACACCCCCCCCCCTTCGCGTGGGGCGGCACTAACCCAGAGTCTCTTTACTCATTCGCCCCCGCCCCCCGGGTTGGCCCTCCAGGGAGGGGGGCCTTTGAAGAGATGGAGAGACCCGCCGGGTCCTCTGAGGAAGAAGGGGAGCAGTCGCTGCTCACCGTCAGGCATGAGCTGAAGAACGGTGAGTCTGTCCGTCTAAGCTAAAGATGTGGGGAGGCTGCCGGGGGGAGAGGGCAGATGCGAAGGGGCGGGAAGCGCCGGAGGAGTCCCCCGAGAAAAGGGACACCCCGAAAGGGAAGGATGGTCAGCGTAGAAAAGTGTGGACGGCACGGAACGCGGCGCCGAGAGAGAAACAAAGGCTAGAAGAGAGCAGCGCCTCGGGAGTAAAGGGAGCGGGATGTTGTGGGGCAGCCGGCCAGGAGGGCGGTGTTCGGGCTGGCAACCCAGGGAAGGGGCGGCGACTGGGCCCAGAGGACTCGGAGGAGAACGAACGGAGCAAGGTTAGGGAAAGACTAAGTCAGTAGAGAAATACATGACTTTGTAACGTGAACACTTTAATATCCGGATGGCATCTTGTGAAACCAGCCCACCAAATAGATGTAACTAAAGGGACTGATGAAATAAGAGGAAAAAACTTAAACGGACTCTCCATTATATTACTATTTACATTCTGAACAAAAGTTATTTAGAAAACTGCTAAGAACATCCGTTTTCCAGCCAAGGAAACCACCAGATTCTCCACTTGCACATGTCTGGAGGGGGCTGATGCACTAAAAACAAAACTTATGCAAGAACCAATAATGGTTCCGCATTTTGGCCAGAGTTCATGTTTTAATAAATTCCTGGCTAATGTCAGTTGCATAATTTCTGGAGACTGATACAGTAAAATACAAAAGTGCTACATGTACTGTTTTACTCAGCTAATTCTAGCAAAAATCCATATTTTGGACAGTTGCTCACAATGCTATATTTCCAAACAACAAAAGTTTAGCAGTTACATATAGCTAGTGGATATTGTTGATAATAAAATAACATGGACACATTTATAAAGTCATCAGAAATTGGGATCAACCTGAGGGAATCTTTTACCTGTACTGAAGTATTTAAAATACAAACATATTGACAAGAATCATGTTAGCTGCCAATGGTATAATACAATCTTTTAAAAAACTTCCCAGAATATTAATTTCCCAGTCAACTCCTCATGACTTTCTCTAACTTGTCATTTAAATTAATACTAGAATTACCTACCAAGCTCAGCGTTCTTCCTTTTCATTCTGAACAAAATAGCTTTTATCTGCTTAAGAAAAGAAAAGGGGATGTAATATAAATTTTAGTATGATCCTTTCACCTTTTGGGGAGATCTGTTTATGTGGCTCTTTTACAGTATTGTAGTCATTTGTATAGTCCTGATGAAAAATGGGAAAGATATCCCTCTGGCTATTTAATAACCAGTCAGGATCTTCAAAATACTCTCTGCCTCTCCTCAGCCACAACTGGGGATAATATATTTTGTTAACCTACGAGGATAGCAGCTGGTCATGAGAACTTGTTATCATATTGCATTGATAGGGAAAGATTGAAATAGTTAAGAATTAGTTGTCACAAAAGTTTCAAGTGAACCTGCAACAATAATACAATTTCAACAACAATCTTAATAAACTGCCCTAAATAAAATCCAAATAATTATTGTCTTGAAATAATTTTATATTCTTTAAAATGAAATCTTATATTTGTAATATATAATTGTTTAAAATATAAATATTTATATATAAATATAAACATTTAATATATTATTTGAAAAAACAGTAATTATGCACAAAAGTAAACATGCCTATAAACAGTGTCTCTTAAAACAATACTTTTGAAAACATTCTGTATATAAAGTATACCTTTTATACAGGTTGGTATAAGAATACTTTTTAACTCTTATCACTGAAAGTACTTTTTAAAATAGTATTACTTCGATAAATTTTTTTATATTTTTTATCTCTGTATCTTAGGGTCTCTATTTGTTATAATATTCAGGGCATTTGAATATACCATAGAGAATTTGACAGGATCTCTAGTTTAGCCTAGGAGAATCAGTAAGAACCGGTAAGAAGAGCCAAAAGATCAGCATGGGCTCAATTATGGTAGGTACTGGTTTTGGCAGATTATTATTGTAATTCCAAGGAAACTATGGCTTTGGTGGATGAGAAAAAATGATTTAGATGATGAAACTGAGGAGAAAGTAACTGTGAGGAGAAAATAAAATCAATGCATTGGAAAGTTGACAACATATTAATTCCCCCTACATTGTTAGGATAACATTTATAGGAGGCAATGCGACTACATTGTTTTAACTATAATTTTTGTAATTATTTTAATCAAACTAATTACCAAAAAAACAGTGTATTTCTAGATTTTTTTGGTTCTTGTATTGCTCAAAACAAATTGCTGTATTTATTATTTATCACCTTGGTCATTTTGCATATTATTTGCATATTATAATTCTGGTAAAAAGAATGATTTATAGTATGCTATGCAATTAATTATTTCCTTTATTTAAATTCCCACCTGTATTAAGTGACTTTTTGTATATGCTTTTAATTCTCGTTCTTTAAAAATAAAAGAAAGACCCCTCTTATAAAAATCCCACAGAGTCCACCTGAATACAATTACAAGCTCACAAGCCTGACTAGAGGGTACTGGCACTCTTCTGCTTTTACTTCTCAGCAGTGAATAAATGAGGCATGTTTCCCATGATTTAGAAGGTAGTAAAAAGCCAATATTTATAGTCATTAATAGCCTGATCATTTATGAGCATATCCAATCCCCTTTTAAAATTATACAAATATGCTATTACTACCACAACAATTGGTGTGGAATCTAAAGCGTGTGTGCTATGTAAACATTTATTCTGCTAGTTCTGAATCTGTCTACATTTAGTTTCAGTGGAATATATTCTTCCATCCATTCCCATTATTTATGCCATGCATAAATTTGTATATCTCTATCATGCCTCCCCTTACTATTCTTTATTCTTTGATAAAGTTCAAAGATGCTGTAGTCTTTCCTTGTAGGGCAGCTGTTCCATTTTCCTAATAATTCTGCCATTTTAATTTCTTTTTTAATGTCTATAAGAATTTTATAAAGTGCAATAATAAAGAATAATTACTTCAGGAATGAGTCAGCTGAAGTAAAATAATTAGATTCAAATACAAATCCAAGTGTGTACAATTTTATAGCTTAAGGACAGGAGGGAAGGGGCCATTTTGATGTCTGATAGCATGTTCTTCAAGATAGTGGAATTGCAACTGAAAATGCATGTTTCAAGGTCCTTTCCTCATGGTGGTCTCTTGGAGTATGACCTGGAGTAAGCCTACACTTCTTGATCTTATTGGGCAAGCAGATGTTATTGAGAGAAAGTGGTTCCACAGACATCCAAGTCTGGAACTATCAGTACTTAAAAAGTGACAAGCACCACCTTAAATTACACATGGAAGCTAACTGGTATCTCATACTTCTTTAGAAGTAGAGGTAATATATGACACATCAAGGAAAACTGATGTGCAATTTGTTACATCATTTTAAAAATTAGTTTTCTATAAAAGTTGTTTTATTAGAGGATTTTTGTGACTGTTGAAATAAAAAAGTATGTTAATCGGTTAAATCATCTTGTCTCCAAAGGATATTTGAAATCAAGTTGAAGAAAGCTATAAACACATCTAGTAGGGCTGTCAAGAATCTTCAAAAGCAAAGCAACACATACAGCACATGCGATGTATCACTTTTGAAATAGAATAATTTTATCATTTCCAGATTCATGTTTCTCTTTAGAAGTTCTTCAAAGCTATTTCTATCTGCATGAGTTTTATTAATTATGGTTAACATATTATCTAAGTTCCAATTAAATGAATATATGATGTAGATGCCTTCATTTTATAAATGTTGCTCATTTTAGTAGCTAAAGTATGTTGTAGATTACAGAATGTATATTCAGTATTTTTATATACAATATTGAAATATTTTGTTCTCAATTTTCTGTTTCTTTGTGATGTACAAAAAGATGAAATGTTAAATATAATTTATAGTATTTGTTTTTATGATCCGATATAGCAGGTTTTCCAAGTAGCTCATAATAGCTTATTTTTTTTTTTTTAAAAAAAAATTTATTATTTTATTTTCATTACAATCATAAGAAAAAAATTCAGATACATAAAAAGTTAAAATACAACACACAAATTCCGACATTGCTCACCCATTTCCCCCCAGACCGCATCCCCCTCTCATCTCTTCACTTCCCCCTTCCTTCTACCTCCTCCTCCCCTCCCCTCCCTCTCTCCTCCATCTTTCTACTTACTTATCCCTCTCCTCTTCTTCTCAATCGGATGCGGTCTGGGGGAAAATGGCCGAGCAATCCTCTATCACCAAAATCTGAACTATTGAACATACTATCCATACTCTCCCCTCCCCCCTCCCCCCACCCCCTTTCCCCCCCCCCCCCGACTTCCCAGAGCTCAGTACAGGGTTACAAAAAAAAAGAAAAGAAAAAAAAAAAGAAAACCAAACATAGTCAACTTAAATTTACTACTTATACAATAACCGGAATCATAATAACCCTTAACTCTCTGCAAACTTCAATTCATAATTAATAAAAATCCATTATTCATAAAGTAAATGAAACTTTGTTGTTCCATACTTCTTCTGAATATATTCTATCCATCTTCTCCATACAGAAACATATCTCTTTTGTGAATGGTCCTTTGAGTAAGCAGAAATTTTAGCCATTTCTGCTAAGTTAGAAACCTTGAATACCCATTCTTCTAAAGAAGGCAGAGAATCTTTTTTCCAATACTGACCCACCAATAGTCTTGCTGCTGTTATTAAATTCAGCATTAAAATAGTTTCTTTAACATCAAAATCCACAAAAATACCCAAGCTTATTGATGAACAACTTGTATAGTTATGGTAGATAGAACAAATGCATTATTCAGTGCATAACAAAACTCAATTGTATCTTTATTATTTGGATTTTTTAAAATCATATTGATCTGCATAAAATGATAAGCATAATATTGTACCATAATTGTACCATATACATTGCACTGAAAATTAAATGGAAGTTGATTTAAAAAATATTTATTTCATAACATATATGAGAATCTTTTTGAATAGACAATGCTCTTCAGATAGACCAATATTAGCTGTTTCAATTTAGTAGAGGCTTAATGTATTGACTTCAAATGATGTATGTACATAAACCTACATGGAATTTTGCTACATGCAGAAAGGTGATTGATCCAATTACTAAAAATATTGTGATATATAATTGTAAATTATTCAGAATTTATGAACTGAATCCTGGCAACAGTGACTCATTATTCTGACTTGCAGTTAGACTACTGGTCTAAATGAAGCTATATTTGAAATGATGTGGAAATTGTACATACAAATTGCAGTTGCCAAGATGTTAGTGGATGAGAGAAATTATCCTTATATAATAGTTGTCTTTTGGTGTCTTCACTGGATGCCAATAGGTTCCTGAACACTAGCTTTGTCTAATAGTACAGGGTATTTGAGAGAACATCTCCTTCTAATTTATTCTGCCCGTCAGATGCATATTTCCATGGTGAAGATGCTTAGGAAGCTATACTTGAAAAGAGATCAGGGAATCTGGGCCTGTAAGCAATTCTTCAGTATCGTAGCAGTGATGGTACATAACATACTGTATTGTTCACATAGGCTGTCCTGACATATTTTTTTTTTACTTCTCTACTTTTCTGCTATGTTGGGGATGGTTGACCAGGTAAAAAAGATTTTACCCCTAGGCTAACCATCATCTCGGTTTTTAACTTTTTATGCAATTTTTCTAATTTGTTTTTAGTACTTTTTACTTTTCATTATATTGTTAAACTGCCCAGAGTCATTGTATCAATGAGATGCACAGCATAGAAATGAAATAAAATAAATAAATAAATAAATAAGTAAATAAGTAAGTAAATAAATTCCATAAAATTACAATTTTGGGGAAGTTTACCAATAAGAGGACATGTGCAGCAGCTATTTTTATTGTTATACCTTAACTAATGTTATAACATTCATACACCACTTTTGAAATGATTAGTTGAGATGGAATAATTTTTCATTTTCTCATTATAAAAATCTATAACCAACAATTAAATCAGTGAAGTCTTGGACTGAGGAGGCAAAGCTATAGCTACATTGACTGGAAAGTTTTTGAAGATACCTTTGCAGACTTGGATGAACTGTAACATCATGTGTTAATTTTTGTGAAGACCCATGTGTGCCAACCAGGAACTTGCAAATGTACAGTAACAATAAGCTTGGTTCACAGCTAAACTCAAGCAACTACGTCGTGCCAAAGAGGAAGCCTACAGGAAAAAAAAATAGAAAGTTATACAATCAGGCCAGAAATGTATTAACAAGGGAGATCAGAGCAGCAAAAAGAAGCTACTCTGAAAAGCTAAGAAATCAGTTGTCAACAAAAGAACCAGCAAATATGTGGAAAACTCTCAAAAATATCACTGATTATAGCAAACCTCTCCATGCTAAAGGAAATTGACAACTGACAAATGACCTGAATGTGTTTTACTGTAAGTTTGAGAGGAAACCACTGTCACCTATCTCCACCATCTCCATCTCAGATACACCACAACAGCCATACCTCCTACAACTGACCCCATCTCCTTGGGTCCCCCACCTCTGGGGATCACAGAAAATAATGTGCATGGTCTATTTCACAGACAAAAGCCTGGAAAAGCAGCAGGCACAGACAAGATAACTCCTTGCTTGAAAGCTTCTGCTGATCCATTGGCCCCCATCTTCACCTGCATCTTTAATAAATCACTAGAGATGTGCTATGTTCCTTCTTGCTTCAAAGGTTCTACTATTATCCCAGTGCCGAAGAACCCCTCCATCATAAAACTGAATGACTACAGACAGGTTACTCTGACATCTGTAGTTATGAAAACCTTTGAAAGATTAGTGCTGGCCCACCTGAAAACTATCATGGATCCACTTTTAGACCCCTTGCAGTTTGTCTACCGAGCAAATAGATCAGCAGATAATGTTGTTAATACGGCTCTGCACTATATCCTACCACATCTTGAATCTCCAAAGACCTATGCAAGGGTCCTTTTTGTAGATTTCAGCTCGGCATTCAATACCATCATTCCAGATATTCTTTTCACTAAACTAAATCAGCTAGCCGAGCCTGACCATACCTGTAAGTGGATCATAAGCTTTCTAACAGACAGGAAGCAGCAAGTGAAGCTAGGTAAAATCACATCAGATACCTGTACAATTAGCACAGGGTCTCCCCTCCTCTCCTCCACTTGTCTCTATATACCAATGACTACATCTCAAAAGATCCCTCTGTTAAAGTATTGAAGTTTGCAGATGCTACAACAGTGTTTGGCCTTATTAGAGAAAACTGAATTGGCATACAAGAAGTAGGTTGAGCAACTAGCATTGTAGTGCGGCCAGAACAATCTTGAATTGAACACGCTTAAAACTACAGAAATGATAGTAGATTTTAGGAGAAACCCTAATATACTATCACCTTTTACAATGCTAGACAACACAGTATCAACAATAGAAACCTTCAAGTTTCTAAGTTCTATAATATTTCAAGATTTCAAATGGAAGCCTAACATCAACAAAGCACAACAAAGAATGTTCTTCCTGAACCAACTCAGAAAGCTCAGACTGCCCAAGGAGCTGCTGATACAGTTCTTTTGTTGTTGTTAATTGCGAAGTCGTGTCCGACCCATCGCGATCCCATGGACAACGTTCCTCCAGGTCTTCCTGTCCTCTACCATCAAAGGAATTATTGAGCCTGTCATTTACACCTCTATAACTGTCTGTTTAGAACTGCAATCAAAGGAGACAGACATAGACTTCAAAGAATAGTTAAGAACTGCAGAATAAAAAATTGCTACCTGCCTGCCTTCCATTGAGGACCTCTATACTGCACGAGCAAGAAAGAGAGTTGTGAAAATATCTACAGACCCTTCACAATGTCAAACTTGCAACATCACGTGACGTATTGCGACGTGTTGCGACTTTTTTCCATTGCCAACAATGGGGTGGGCATGGTTTCAGCATGATGCATCTGGCCCGTGGGCCGGCAGTTTGAGGTATGCTATAGGGAATTGCACACTAGAACAACTAGACATAAGGACAGTTTTTCCCCCCAGGCCATCACTCTGCTTAACAATTAATTCCTACAGCACTGTCAAACTGCTTAATAAAGCTGTATTACTGTGATACTCCTCATCTTTCCTATTACCTATCCTTATCTTCTTATGACTATAACTTTGTTGCTTCTCTCTTACAATTTATATTGTTTTTTAGTATCCTAGTATGATTTATGTTGTTTGCTTAGCTAGTACTCTATGACTATCATTAAATGTTGCATCTTATGATTTATGATGAAGTGTTGTATTTTACGATTTATGATGAATGTATTTTCATGTTGTTTATGATCATGATTATTATTATTACTTGTATATACACTGAAAGCTTATGCACAGGAGACAAATTCCTTGTGTAGCCAACTCACACTTGGCCCATAAGAATTCTATTCTATGCACTTTAAATAAAATTATATTCACTTTGTTATATACATGGAAACCTGAATACAACAACACTTTAGTGACAGCTATGCTATAAGTATTATATGAATAACGGAGGAATCTTAATCATGGATACCATGTAATTTATATTACTATATGTTTGCTTGTTAGTGTATGTAATATTGACATTGGATATTTTTTTTGTTAGCAAACTTAACAGGCCACACAGAGAAGGTGGGCATTGAGAACTTTGAACTCCTGAAAATTCTTGGGACAGGAGGTATGCATTATTTTATACTGCTAATAAAGCATGAATGTACTTCTTAAAACATTCACCAAATAAAATTCTATTTTAGAGATAAATATTTTGAGTGGCTGGGGTAGGTAGTTAGAGGTATCAATAGATCAAAGTTTCTTCCCAACTAAAACGATCAGGCAAGGAAATAAGTAGAATTTCTTTATTATTTATTAGATTGCATTCTTCCTTTCAGTTAGGAACTCATGGCAGGGTAAATTTTGCTCCCTCCTCCTAGTTTTCTATCACCGAATGAGCTTCCATAAATGAAGGTTGGTTAGAGCAGAGGTTCCCAATCTTTTGGGCACCAGGGACCGGTTCTGTGGAGAAAGGATTTTCCACAGACTGGAGAGTGCGTGGGTTTGTGTGCTGCCTGCATCCCACGGATGGGGCTTTGTTTGGGTGGACCGGTTGCTGGCATGCTACAGCCTGGTACTGGTCCACGGATCGGGGGTTGGGGACCCCTGGTTAGAGGTACTGGGTCTCCCCACTCCAATTCCAACACTTAACTTCCAAGACATTTCAGGCAACCCAATCCCATTTTGGAAAGGCTGAAATAGCTGCAAAGTCAAGACTGCAAAGACTGATTCAATTCAAAGAGTCACGAAAAACATTCTAGGCAACTGGTAATAGAAACAGATGACTATAATTGTTGTTTTCAGCACTGGATCATTTCCATATACTTAGTTTTATATTCCATATTTTAAGTCTCTGCCATAATGCGGTTGGAGTACAGTTGTTCAATTCATACTTGGTCTAATCAGGAGCAACAGTGACTGAACTATTCTGAAGAAGTGTTTTCCTGCAGTCTTGTGCTTCTTTGCTTCTCAGCCTTCTGGTTTGATCTGTTGCCATTCCTCTTGCAGATTTAAATAATCCAAAATCCTGATTGGGATTTGTGACTTTGGTACTTGAGTTAAAATTCTAAATCTTCTGTGCTTGCAATGCTAAGTCCAAGATTCTGGTTCCCATCAGTTCCCAAGGCCTGATTCCTCCTGAAGGTGAATTCTGTGAGGGGACTGACATTAATAAATAACATGTAAAAAAGTAATATATATACATGTTAAATTATATTTAATTGCTAAAAATTCTGGAAGGAAACATTACTGGTAGTCCTCGAGTTATGACAGTTCACTTAACAACAGTTCAAAGTTACGACATCCTCCAAGTTCAGGACCTGGTCCTGAACCTATGTATGCTGAAGCACAGTAGCAATGGTTCACCCTTACGACCGACCACAAAAACACAGCAACATGCCCCCTGCCTATTTCCCTCTGATCCTGCTCTACCAGGTCCTCACAGACACTGGGTCTGCCTTTTTAGCCCACAGGGTTTCACATGTTGCTCCCCATCCTATCACTGATTGCTCACTTACCTTTTGAAGATCTACAGAGCTCAAGATGTGGAGATAGGAAAAGAGAACAAGCTAGGCCAAGTGGCAGAAAAGTGGTCATCTTTTTCTTGAATGTTGGCAAAGTTGTTTCCCTTTCATTGTTGCTAGATGCTAGACTTCTCCCCTTCGCAAAAGCACTTTTGTGGAGAGGGGAAAAGTGTGCAAGGATTCATGCTTCCTCCCTTCACAAAAGCATTTTTGTGTAGAGGGGAAATGTGTGCAAGGATGCATGTGTGTGTGTGTGTATGCGTGCGCACACACACACTTTTCCCCTTTGTAAAAATGCTCTTGTGAAGAGGGGAAATGTTTGTAAGGAAGCACACACACACACAATCCTGTACGAAGGACAGGTTTTCCATTGGCTGCATGCCTTCCCACCCCCACCATTAACTCCACTAGTATAAGACTAGTGGAGCTAATGGTGGGAGGGGCCAGCAAGTCTAGCATCTAGCAATGATGTAAATGCTATTGCTTGGTGGAATCTGTACATATTTGCATTGGCACCTATGGAAAAGTAAAGTCCACTTGCCTGAAACCTGAATGGATATGATGTAATTACAATTCTAAAGGATAGAACTATCTAGAAAATATATATTAGTGAAATATCAGATTATTCCCTAATTCACAGCAATAAGTAGGTCTTTCAAATTGGTCATATTCTTATCAAGTTAGTAACTGAACACAATTGTGTTGGCCAAGATGCTTTCTGTTGCTTCCCGAAAGTTACTAGTTACTGAGGACTTCCCTGTTTTCTTGGTGCTTATCTTAATGGCTTTTCAATGGTAGCTAGTTTTTTTATATGACTAAATTTGTCATTAGGTTCTCAGGTTCCTTGAAATATAAGCAAGACATTGGTCTAGTAATATTTACTTTTAAAGATGGATTTGATTGTATTAAATAAAAAGAATAATTATGAAATCCAAATCAAGTAGGTTGATTTTATCTGTACAATTGATACTGTTTTGAGATTTATTTTTATTACCTTTGTAAGCCTATTAGTATGCTTATTTTCTTGTTTTTCAGTTGCTCCATTTTAACTCTGATAGCTTTCTTCTCCTTAGACTCTTGCTAAAGATTAGGATTTTACATTTCTTTGGGGGCATAGCTTTCTTAAAATAATATTTTATGTGTTAATCAAATCAAGAAGATAAACAAATGACATTGGGTTTAAAGATTTATGTTGTTAAGTTCGTTATTTTGAAAGTACAGTAGCTTGATTTGAGCTCTCTGTGCTGTGGAGGTGGAATTATGATGGGGGGTTGGCTATTACTATTTTACACCTGTGTGATATTTTTGGTTTTAGCTTATGGAAAGGTATTTCTGGTGAGGAAAAACAGTGGTCATGATGCTGGCAAATTGTATGCAATGAAGGTATTAAAAAAGGCAACAATAATTCAAAAATCCAAAACAACTGAACATACAAAGACTGAACGACAAGTACTAGAACACATTCGACAGTCTCCATTTTTGGTCACTTTGCATTACGCTTTCCAGACAGATACAAAACTTCATCTCATCTTAGGTAAGTGTAAAAAGGAAAGAACCATTGAAGGAAGGAAAAAATAAGGTCTATTTTCATTTGCTGTTCCAGTTAAAAAATTAGCTCCTCCCTCCTTCCCTTGTAATGGTTTGTGATTCAGATACACACAGCAGAACAGTTACCATAAAGAATTATGCATCTACTACATAGGTCTAGGACGGGTAGGCAACCTTGGCTCAGGAATTCTGGGAGTTGAAGTCCACGAGTCATAAAAGAGCCAAGGTTGCCTACCCCTGGTCTAGGAGAATCAAAGAATACATTTATGCATATTTTTCCCTTTGAGAACCATCCATCCAATCTGCCATTGATTGTGTTAATTATTTGTGCAATAATTATTTATCACCAAAAAGCCCAGTACTTGAATGAAACAAAATATAGCTGATTATGTTAAAATACATTTATTGAATAAATTGTCAATTGGCAGGAGCATTCATAACTTCTCAACTGAGTTGGGTAATAGTGCTACACATCTTAAAATAAACAACTTTATTTTAGTAGATTAACTTGGGGAGAGATGTCTTTTTTTTGTATTAAAATTTTTTTATTTTCCATTTATTCATACAAAATACAATTCAATTAAAATAAATTCCTAACCATTGGTACCGCCTGCCCATTCCCCCCAGGCTGCGTCCACCCTCTCTAATCCTTCCCCACTTCCCTCCTCTTTCTCTCCTCCCCTCCTACTCTCTTCCCCTCCCCTTCTCCTCTAACCATCCTACTTCCTCCCTACTCCTTCCTCCCCTCTCATCCCTCTCACACACATGAACGCAGCATAGGGGAAATGCCCAAGCATTTACCATGACTATATTATCATTACCCACCCACTCACCCACTCACCCACCCTCAACCCTCCCCCCCCTCGCTTCCCAGAGTAGAGTACAGGGTTATTAATAAGAAAGTTAACAATAATAAAAAAAAGAAAAGAAAAAAGAAAAAAAAGAAAAGAACTTTATTTTAGTAGATTAATTTGGGGAGAGATGTCTTATTACAGGTAGTACTCGATTTATGACCATAATTTGGACTGCTAAGCAATGTGTTCATTAAGTAAGTCATACCCGATTTTATGATCTTTTTGTCATGGTCGTTAAGTGAATCCACAGCCATTAAGCGAATCCGGCTTCCCCCATTGAGTTTTCTTCTTGAAAGACCCCCCCCCCGAGAAGGTCACAAATGGCAATTATGTGACCCCAGGTTTCTGCAACAGTCATAAATACAAGCGCCCAAATTTAGATCATGTAACTGCAGGAATGCTGTGATAGTCATAAATGTAAGGGTATTTTTCAGCATCATTGTAACTTTGAATGGACACTGAATGAATGGTTGTAAGTCAATTACTACCTATATTCAAGAATGTTCATTGAATCAAACAGATTTGTAAGCTTTTGTATCATTAGTATGATAGCATCAAATCATGTACAGTAAGTTAATCATAGCAAAAATGTTGTATGAATGCTCATTGCATTGAAGTCCAGTAAATTGAAGTTTTAATATTTCTTTCATTTAATTTCCAATGCGAAATCACCCGCAATTCTGTAACACTGTTATTGTTTTCTTTGTCCATGGTTAACTGAATCATGCAGGGGTATAAGGCAAGGTTTTAAGGTAGACCTCCAGATCAGTCTCCTTAATGATGAGACAGGATGTGGCCATTGAGAGTGGGGAAGAGGAGGAGGCCATATAGTATTTACTTTCTGCTCTACAGTAAGAGAGTCACAAGAATCTGCCCTTCTCAGGAGCCATAAAGTGTTCCTTTTCTATTTTTGTTCAGTCATTAGACTTGAGATATTCTCCCCATATCATACACAACATAGCCATAAGTGCTTGTTTATATCATCTCCCCTCAGATCCCCACTTACCAACTTGGCTACTTTAAAATCTTTCTAGTGTAGACATTCAATATCACATCCAAGCTACAATGTTCTGGGCAAATTTCCCTGATTCAGTCCACTGCCTTCTATTAGATTTAATCTATCTCTTTTTGCTACTATCTATGGGAGTTTTGCAGTTCTGTAGTCCTCAACTTACGATCACAACTGAGCCCAAAATTTTTGTTGCTAAGTGAGACAATTGTTAAGTTAGTTTTGCCCCATTTTATAACTGTTTAAATGAATTGCTGCAGTTGTTAAGTTAGTAGCATGGGTGTTAAGTGAATCTGGATTCCCCATTGACTTTGCTTGTCAGAAAGTCACAAAAGGAGATCATGTAACCCTGGGACACTGAAACTGTCATAAATATGAACAAGTTGCCAAGCGTTTGAATTTTCATCACGTGACCATGGGGATGCTGCGAAGTCACATTTTTCAGTGCTTCTGTAACCTCAAACAGTCACTAAATCAATGTTTGTAAGTGAAAGACTACCTGTATGGTCTCTTTCCTTTATTTCTTTATAATTTCTTGACTTTGCACAACAAATTGATTCATGAAATATTCATCCTGGCAGAATCTGCTAACTACCGTAAGCACAGACTAGTGAACCTAATTTTAGCCTGGTGTAAACTACAGTTCCAGTGTTTTTTTTTTTAAAAAACTCTTTTAATTGTTATATTTTCTAGAGATAACTGTAACTATGTTGAGAGATTTTTTTTAAAAAAAATTCAATTATTTGAAAAAAGATCAACTCTGAGGGAGATAGGTGGTTTAGAAATAGGAAATATAAATAAATAGGTTAAAAAGTCAGCCTATAATTGAGACATTTATTATATTCATGTGAAAATCCATAAATTTTCCAAAGGAAGTAATTGTGGCTACTGATGAAAGCAAAAAAAAAGTAACCACCAGTATATGTAACATTTGCTACTACAAGGTATGAAATGTATTTTTTGAATCAATTCAGAAATTTTGCAGATCCCTAGTAAATAACTTGGTTTCCTGTATCTTAGATTACATAAATGGAGGAGAACTTTTTACCCATCTTTCACAAAGAGAGAGATTTAATGAAGATGAGGTACAGATATATATTGGGGAGATTGTTTTAGCACTGGAACACCTACACAAGGTCAGACAATATTTTCAACTTTTTTGAAATAAATTTATTGAAAGGAAAAATGTAAGTGAAATTAAAGTTAATTGTATGATGGTATTTTCACTTTGGAGACACAAAAATCTGTATTTAACATTCACTACTGTATATGATAGTTTGTGGAATGTATTTACATGACATGGTTACCATAAATCATGATTTAGTCACAAACCCTTCAGTTGACACTTCCCCAGAAGTGATATGATTGTTATCCGTCTACCCATGCTTTATTTTCAGGTACATTTATTGTGCAAGCTCAGTGCACAATACTTCCACTTAAAATTATTACTGACATATTTTTCATAATTCTACACTGTTTTGGACCATAGAACCATAACAACCTTTTTAATGCTAGTAATCAAGCAAAAAAATTAAAAATATTATCTTCATTTTATATCGTTAACATGGGCATTTTTTCTATTTAACATGGTGTATATTTGAAATATATGGTTAAATGCCAACATGTGAGAATATTTTAATAGACTCTGCTCAGTAGTGTACAATTATTTTAATTTTTTCCAGTTGGGAATTATTTATCGTGACATAAAACTTGAAAATATTCTTCTTGATTCAGATGGACATGTAGTTTTGACAGACTTTGGACTGAGTAAGGAGTTTGTTAATGATGAAGTAAGTATCTACATATTAAGTGACTCTCTAAATAAGCCAGAAAATTCATGTATTGATTTTTTTTCTCAGTGAAACTCTTCTTTTTTCTATTGAGATGAGGTGGAGGGATCAGATTTACCCTGTGGGATAATTTGTCGAGAGAGAGAGAGAGAGAGATGTTTTAAAATAAACCTTTTTAATATATTAGTCTAAAAGATATTATAGAGAGCCAAACATGTTTAAGAGGACAATTAAATAGAATGATGTAAATCCTAATAATAAGTTTTATCCTTGTTGTTTTTTCCCTGTGATTATGGTATCAGTGACTACATTGGCTATAATATTTTTTTTTCAGAATGAAAGAGCTTATTCTTTTTGTGGAACCATAGAATATATGGCACCAGATATTGTCAGAGGAGGAGATACAGGACATGATAAAGTAGGTTATTGATGATAATGAATATACTTGAGAGCCAATTTGGTGTAGCAGTTAAGATCAGGAGGCTGTGAGTTCTAGTTTTAATTTAGGTCAAATCACCTGGATGGCATTGGGCTAGCCATTCTTGCTCAGCCTGAAGAAGTAGAAAATAGAAACTCTCTTCTGAAATCTTGACAAGAAAACTGCAGAGACTAGTCTAGACAGTTGCTGTGTATCAACACAAAACAAAAAAACAATAAAGATTAAATTACAACCTATTTTCTGGTAGATGAAATATACTTTCTGTATGTTTCAAATATATTTTTAATTGCAAGATACTTAAAATAATGAATAAAGCAAGTATTTCAAAATATATAAAATTATATAAAATTCTTAGTCCTATGGATATGAGGGTATATGTCTCTTATGCCAGGGATCCCCAACCTCTGGGCTGCAGCCCACTACCAGGCCATGGCCGATTAGGAACTGGGCCATGCAAGAGGCGGGCCAATGTGCGCATAGCTCCACTCATGTAAGCGGTGCCCCAAACACACAAAAGGCTTTGTGGGAATGATCTTGCGCTGCTTCAGGTTTTCCATCCCTTTGCAAAAGCTTTTAGTGTGGCGAAGCTTGAAGGAGTGTGAAACCCTGCCCCAAAGACTTCTTTCTTGCCCAAGTGGAGCTATGTGTGTGGGCATGGTCTGGTTCCCCTCTACCCCCACAGCCAGGCCACCAAGCCTGCTGTGTTATCCAACGTAATTGCTTATAAAATAGGATTCATTGTCATAAAAGATCAGTCACATTATTTGCCAGTGTATACAGTATCCTGTATATAGCCAAGTAGTATGAAAACAGAAAAATCCAACTTTTTCTAAACTTTGATTAGGAGTGATGATTGATGTTTCCTACTTTCAAAATGCTTTCTTTCATTTGAAAATAAAATACCTTCTATCTATTATGATGTACAATATATTTTTTAATATAATTAATTATATCAGAGATTGAACCTGAAACTTTCTAAATGCAAATCAAATGTTTCACTAGCCTTTAGCTGTTTAGATTAAAAAGTCTATTCTTTAAGAATACTGTAATTTAAAAAATAAATCAAATTGTTTATCTTCTTCCAAACAGTAATTTTTTGTGGAATAAGTAATTTAAAGAGGTAACATCTAATTCCTTAACCTCCTGTCAAGACCCAGTATATTTAAAAGAATATCAAACTAAGATTAGGTTCAGCCATTTCTAATTTTGGAAATGCAGTTTGGATCATTCACTGTCTATCAGTACAATCTACAGTATCTTCTGGGGGAAAATGGAAGAGGGAATTCTCTGTATGTTTCTTGAGAAAGGACAGAATATATGTCTAACAAACGAGTAAATAACCAGTTGAAAATGATTAACAGGTGGTTATGCCATCTCTATATGTTGCTTCAGCATTTCTGCCCTTAATGAAATCCTCTAATTCTAATTAAACGTAGCTCCATTTTTAGTTGATGGTAGTAGAGTTTTGTGGCCAAAAAAGAGAATCATTTTTCTTTTGGCACATGTACTAGAGGAGCTTTCCTTAGCTCATTTTCAAATTGTGATATTGTTATATATTGGTGTCTGAATACCCGAATAACTATTAATATCTTAACTGTTTTAAGGACTAATAGCATTAGCTATAGCTCACATTTTATACATTACCTAGAACTAAGGAGAAATTTCCTGACAGTTAAAACAATTAATCAGTGGAACAACCTGCCTCCAGAAGTTGTGAATGCTCCAACACTGGAAGTTTTTAAGAAGAGTCTGGACAACCATTTGTCTGAAATGGTATAGAGTTTCCTGCCTGAGCAAGGGGTTGGACTAGAAGACATCCAAGGTCCCTTCCAACTCTATTATTATTGCTGTTATTGTTGTTATTGTTGTTATTATTATTTAAATTAAAACTTTTTCATTTAGTTCATATTTTTAAAAATAACTGCATAGTTTATTCTTATTTCCTAGAAGAATCACGTTAATAATCTTCATTAGTACATATTTATTTTATAGGCTGTTGATTGGTGGAGTTTAGGTGTTCTGATGTATGAATTATTGACTGGAGCATCACCTTTTACAGTTGATGGGGAGAGAAATTCACAAACTGACATATCTAAGTAAGTTATCATTTCAAATGACTGAAAACTTAAGACATCAAAGGGTGTCTGTTCTTGTATTTGTATATCAGGTTAATTTGATTCAATTGTTTTTAAAAGGATAAGATTGTGTTCCCCAAAATACACATAGGATGTTAGACCCATCTCTTGTCATTACTTATTCTGTTTATGTATTGTTTAGATTCAGCAAAGATGGCATCCATCAGTTTATAAAATAAAAACAGTAAAAAATACATAAACGCTGATAAAAGAATAACTCTAAAGTAGAAAATGTAATGGTAATTATTCATTCCTTAAGGTCCTCCAGAACTACTGTCTTTAGGGCAGTGGTGGGATTCAAATACCCGAACAACTGGTTCTCTGCGTGGATGCAGGCCTGGGCCTCAGAGGCCCAGAATGGACTTCTGGAAGTGACATCTATGTCACTTCCTGTGGGCCGTTCTAGGCCTGGGAGGTCTCCTCCAGGCCTCCGAGGCCTAGAACAGACTTCCGGAAGTGACATACACAGGCCTAGAATGGACTTCCAGAAGCAACATGGGTTCAGCCGGTTCTCTGAACTCAACAACATTTAGCTACCGGTTATCCTGAACCGCTGCAAACTGGCTGAATCCCACCACTGCTTTAGGGCTTTCTAATCGATAATTGCAAGGAAACTGTTCCATAAGATAGGAGGAACATTGGTTGTATTAGGGGCAAAAATGTCCTCTGTGATATGAAGCAGGCAGATCACCTATCATGGTCTTTCTCCTCCTTCTCTTCCTTTCTTTCCAGCCTCCATGGAGGCTCAGACGTTGCCGGCTGCCGGCAGTTTCAGGCTAAAGCTCTGCATCCAGCTTGAGTACTGTGTTCCCTTCTCAGGCCCTACCACGTGGCAGAGAGTGCGACCAGGAGCCGGCCGATGTTCGGCTTGTGCCACTGTGCGCTCCCATCCCTTTCATCCCACAGGCTGGGCATGCCCTAGGGCAGTGATGGCGAACCTTTTAGAGACTGAGTGCCCAAACTGCAACCTAAAACCCACTTATGTATCATCGGGTGCCGGGTGGGTGTGGCCCATTGGGTGGGTGTGGCCCATTGGGTGGGCGTGGCTGTGGTGGTAACGGTAGACTGGGTGGGACTAAAAAGTTCAATCAATCAATTCCAACTTTGTGAAAAAAAAATTTCCTGCGAGAAGTTGAAATTGATTGATTAATTGAACCTTCTTTTTTTTTTGCACACAGCGGCGGAGGCCTAAAGTGAAAAGGTTTTATAAAAGCCAGCTGAAGGCCTAGGACTGAGGCGACGGCGCGTGTGCCCACAGAGACGGTTCTGCATGCCACCTGTGGCACACATGCCATAGGTTTGCCACCACGGCCCTAGGGCACTAGGCTTACAGAATGCCATGACCCGAGTGAGGAAAGGCACGGCCCGACAAAGCAGAACCGGATGAGAGGCCCAACAAAGTGGGGCGTGGTCCAGCATGAGGGGGTTAGGCTGGGAGGGGAGGGGTGGGGTGAAGCAAATGAGTTGCAGGTATGCACCACCAGCCCTTGAGCACTTGCCGATTCATTGTGTGCCAGGGGGTGCCCAGCTGAGTTGGGGTGGGCCAAGCTGGGGCACGGGGACTGGTCCCTTGCCATTCTGAGACAGCCCCGGGGGCCAAATCTGGGTCCTCTGTGGGCTGGATGCGGCCCACAGGCCTTGTGTTTGACATGTCTGATCTAGTTTACAAAATATGGTTACTAACGTATCTACTTGAGCTGGGAATTAGGTATCATGTTTATATAACATCAGTATTATATTATCTTCACTGGCTTCATTGGCTAGTGTCTTATAATTTTGGCTTCAAGGTTCCAACTGATGAACCCAACGAAGTAAACACAGCTGAGACGATTAAATCTCTAATGCAAAACTTTATTGAGTGCACCATTTTGGCACTGATGAAAGTGAAAACCAGCTCTGAGGTTTTTGTGCCTATTTTGCCATATTAAAAGAATAGAAACCTCCCTCCCTTCTTCGTACAGATCACATTGCCCAGTTGCAAGTTAGGCAGTTGTTATGAGAGAATCCACAATCTTCAATAAACATATCTCCACTTGTCCTTACTTATCTAACGGCCAGCAGTTGTTAACAGCTCACATTCCAATCTCCCCCCTCCCCGCAAGCTGTTGGCAAGCTGCGAAGCAGTTATGTCTGAACAAGCCTGGTCACTCTGCGAAGCTTGACATTTGATTTGTTTGGGGGTTGAATTCAAAATACTAAAATTTTAAATGCTTCACAATTTAGGATCACAGTACAGTATACAGTAGCATGCCTTTTTCCTTCCTGCATATTTCTGCTTAAGCAATACGGCTGTCTTTGGTGGCTTTGTTCTCTTGTTCCTGCAAAAGGGAGTGAGTACTAGGAGCAGACATGGAAATGTTTGCCTTAGACTAGGATATCTAACATTTCTTGATTGGCTTTGCTTTTTTTTTCTTAGTAATAGAACAATTTCTTATTTACATGGCCTTTTAATTTTTTTTTCTAAATTTAGGTTTGCAGTTGTTTTATTTATGCTAGTTTATCTCTGCTTTTTTTAAGTAACTGCTCTTTGATTGTTTTAAGTTACTGTTTTACTGTTTTAATTTTATTTAGAATAAATAATACAGTATATTTTAACTGCAGTTTGTTGCCTTGTATATTTTTTTCCAGCTGTTATTGCAGGGCAATGAATACATTTTAGTTAGTTTTAGAATTCCCAAAATCAGCAACTATCCTTTTACTTCAGGAGAATATTAAAAAGTGAACCTCCATATCCACAAGAAATGACTGCGTTAGCTAAAGATTTAATTCAGTGTCTTCTAATGAAAGATCCCAAGAAAAGATTGGGTTGTGGTTCAGGGAGTGCTGATGAAATCAAACAACATCCCTTCTTCAAGGTAAAATCAATTTTGTCTTTGTTATAAACTGCTCATTTTTATATTGGCTATTTTTGTAGATAATATGCAGCAGATACTAGAAATAAAGTCTTTTCAATAATATTACTGTAAGATTAAATCCCTGGAGAGAAACATCAGATTCCTTCTGTATTTAAGTGCCCTCTGAAACAGATTCACATATTTCAGCAGAACCTTGAACCTGAATTTGCTTAATTGTTCTAGTATAAAGTGCTGTAAGTTTTTCCTTTTTATATTTTAAGGACATTTTAATTATGGTTAAATCATTTCACAGTTTGGCAGGTAATAAAAGACAGCACAGTTGCTTCTGCCATCCCCTTTACCATTTAGGCTTTAGAGCTGGCAGGGAACACTTAACAAATAGAGGGCCACCATTTTCTAAGAACATTTGTCTCCAATTTACAAATGAAGCTTTTGCATTGCTGGATGGGGCACAAGCCTGATAATCTCAAAAGGTGTACTTTTGTGCATTGCTCCTACCTGTGTAGGAGCCATATTCAGTGCTGGATATTACTGTAATCAGTCAATAAATAATGCCTCCTTATTTTTTCAAAAATATATGAATAATTATTTGTCATTCATTAAGCAGTTTCTTTGAATGGTGATCATGATGAACCGTTCAGCAATTTATCCTTAAGTATATTTGCCAATAATACAGGTAGTCCTCGACTTACAACCGCAATTGAGCCCAAAATTTTTGTTGCTAAGTGAAAGAATTGTTAAATGAATTTTGCCCCATTTTACGACCTTTCTTGCCACAGTTATAAAGTGAATCACTGCAATTGCTAAGTTAGTAACACAGTTGTTAAGTGAATCTGGCTTCCGGGTAGACTTGCTTGTCAGAAGGTCGCAAATGTGATCACATGATCCCGTGACACTGCAACTGTCATAAATATGAGTCAGTTTCCAAGTATCCAAATTTTTATCACATGACCATGGGGAAATTGCAATGGTTGTAAGTGTGTAAAATGGTCATAAGTCATTTTTTTTCAGTCCCATGGTAACTTCAAATAGTCACTGAACGAACTGTTGTAAGTTCAGGACTACCTTTATATCTTAATTAATTCTATAATCCGAACGCATAAAATAAGTCCAATTATATTTGAATAGATGTAAATGGGAAGCTGACATGAACTATTTTCTCTGAACAATGTATATTGACAACTGAAACAATTACCTTTTTGTCTGCTCACTCTTTTCTATGTTTAATTTAATATATTGGTTCAGAAAATAAATTGGAATGACTTGGCTGCCAAAAAAGTGTCTGCTCCATTTAAACCAATAATTCGTGATGAGTTGGATGTTAGTAATTTTGCAGAGGAGTTTACAGAAATGGATCCAACATATTCTCCAGCAACCACTTCAGAGGCTGCGGACAAGCTATTTCAGGTAACTGGAAAATTCCAGCCATATAATAATATTACTAAAGTTTTGTGGAGAGATCATTTACAGATTAAATAAGACCATCCATCCATCCTATTATCAAAATGATTAAAGTGACTGGCAACTATAGTTTTGGAAGAGATATATTAAAACAGTATTAAAATGAGTATATACAAGAACACTAAATAATCACTGCTATAAGTCAGATATAGTTATCCTTTAGAGAAGAGTGTGTCTAAAGAATATGTATCAATAGCAAAGTGAAGCTACATCAATATTGGAAACTGCGCACTTACATACCTGCATCCTGATGTCTCGGATAAATATGTATATTGTGGGTTTTGCATGTTTCATCACTTGCATTCCCATACAGAATTCTATTCCAATATTAAGAGAAAGTCTTTTTTTAAAAGTAGGTTTCTTTGGGGCATATTAAATATAATTGGCACATAATAGATTGCAAAGAGATATAAAATAATGAATGTCAGCTAATATTATCTGTGACCCATCAGCTGAAATTAGTGATTGATTAGTTTGATTGAAACAAGTGATTGATTACATACAAAGAAAAAAATTGAAAAGAAACTTAATATTAGGTTTTTGGTTTTCCAGACATTTCCCTTACAAAAAATAATATTTCAGAAATTGAGATTCCATTATTGATAAATGATTTAAATCTGTAGTGTTATAACCTTCAGAATAAAATAAGAAAAATAGCTTGTGCATCTAATCTTTACAAATTTAAAATCGTAACAAGGTTTGGGAAAACTTGCTTATGGGCTGATTAATGCACTAGGGAGATTCCATGGCTTCTCAGGGGAAGGAAAATTATTTTGTTTTCTCTATGGTTGGTGTTGTTTTGCCTGCAGAGAGGATAAACTGAGGAATACAAGATGAAATTATAATGAGACAGTTGTGGAAAGAAGAACAGGTAGAAGATTGGACATAGAATGCTTGCAAAATAAGGCAGAAATGTAGAAACAGGCTGGGAAGTATAAATTGTCATTGTCAGTGGCATACGAGGGTTTGGGAAAGGTAATACAAATTGTATAGAGATAGAAAGTAAAAGATAATAGTAAGATAAAGGAAACATCCAGAAATGCTAGTTGGACTTGAAAAGTATATTGCTTATAAGTGCCAGACGTGAAAAGCATATCGTTTGTAGGTGATAGAGTAGCTATAGAAATAGTAACCAGCTCTTGTTTAAATTAATGCTTGTAGTTCCAGGTCATATATACTCGATAGCTCTGAGAATCTAATTGTGGAGGGCACTGGAAACAGTTTAAATACTGTATCCACAAAGTTAAAAAAAACGAGGTGAAATATAAAATAAATTATGTAAGCAGTTATGACTATATTGGTATACTTAAACATACTATAAACCTATTTTGGATATAATTATTGTAAAACGGGCAAATCAATCGGGTTTATTTAAAAATAAACTGAAGTGAGTGTAGCAAGATTTAAGTCAATACGTAGTCCTTGGCTTACAACAGTTCATTTAATGATTGTTCAAAGTTACAACAGCACTGAAAAAAGTGGCTTATGACCGTTTTTCACACTTATGACTATTGCAGCATCCCCATGATCAAAATTCGGATACTTTGCAACAGACTCATATTTATGACTTTTGCAACCTTCTGACAAGCAAAGTCAATGGGGACTAGATTCACTTAATAACTGTTACTAACTTAACAATGCAAATTGAAATAAATAAAATGCAGAGGCTCAGGTACTGGAAAATGAACATTTTACACAACTTACAAGAAGGACCTGCACAATTATCCATAAACTTCTCTGTGCAATTCAAAGGACTGGTTTTGATAGATATACTCCTCTATGTCTTGGCATTGAAGTATCTCCAGGACTGCTTATCTAGCCTGAATAATAAACTCTTGATAATTCTACTTTTCAGTGAGATAGTGTGTGGGGTTCAAATCGGGAGGCAGTGTTGTTCTACCACAACACCAACTTGAAGGGACAGGCTCCCTTTGCCTATTAGATTAGAATTGCCTTCTGGAAAGCATTACAGACTGAGATATTCCAGAAAGCCTTTGCAATTTGAATGCTGAATTGCTGCTACTGTTCTGCTAATTGTCATCTGAAAGATGTAATTTAACTATCATGAGGTTGTATAACAGAGACTATGAAAGTATTTTACTTTCATTATATTATACGGTGTATGTTTTACTGCTTATTGTTTATGGAGGATAATTTAATGTTTTATGTTTATTATGGGTGTTTTATTGTCAGTAGTGTTACCTGTATTATGGATGTGGTAATTGTTACAAATTGCCAAGAATTGAATAAAATGTGATAAGTAAATCCATATAAATAAGTAAGTTACAGGTGTTTTGTGCTTTTAAAATGGAATATTTTGAAACCTTTTATTATATTTGTATATTTTGTATTAATCATCTTCCCCTCACATACTTCTTTCTCAAGATATTTTGAATTGTACATTTTGTACAATAAAAATACAAACATATGTGTTTAGTGCAGGAAACTACGGTACTAGGAATTTCCTTTTTGTTAAGAGGAAGAAAGCAATTTTGTTCATTCACCCATTGAAATTTGTGCATGAGCAAATGAGCTGGGTTAATGGCCAGGTTGAAGTAATAGCAAGTAAGCACTAATCAGTTAATTGTTTTCTATGCACGTTTTAGCAAAATTTAGATAGTGAAATAAATTGATTGGGCATATTTTCCATACTCCTTCTCCAGCATAGTTTATCATCCCTTCTGAACTCAATAAATTGTGGATAATTTTATTTTTAAATATAGCAATTTCATACCATGATTATGAAATGACTCCTTGAGATGAAATATATACCATGGATTAGGATTCAGAAAATTTACTATTTTGCAGATAATATAAAATGGAAATGATTGTTTTCTATTTTCTTCTCATATTACATACCAGAGAAAGGAAGTGGAAAGAATAGGACTCTGGAGCTAGAGCTCTTCCTGACATAAGATGGTTAATTGGGATGTTACCAATTAAAGCAAAGTCAAACAATCATTTTTGAAAACCATTTCAGCTTGCTTACTTCTCATGAAAAATTGATGCTGCCTTCTCTGATCAATCAAGATTGGCTACCTTCTTTCAAGTCTCGGTCATTTGGAACATACCGTTTGCCATTTCCACACAGACTCATTATTTTGCAAATGCCATTCTTTGAACCAGCAGCTATAAAAATATATCTATTTAGATCAATTTTACTCTATTTAGTTACACTACACAGGTTTAATCTAGTTGCAGTCATTTACAAAGTCTATCTTTTCTCATAGAATATATTGCAGAATAAATTGGTGCTAATAATATTTAGTTCCTTTACTTCCAAAATAATTGATCAGTTGCATTTTAACAGGCTGTCTGAAGACACAAATATAAATATATTTTGATGCATAGACTAGTATTTTAAATTTTTAAATTTTATATATCAGAAGATAATGTCTTTCAAGCAAGTTTTTCTGTGATTATATAACGTTGTATTATTTCCTTCAACAGAGTGTAGTGTTCAAACAGTGATTGTTATTTTTTTCCAAGTATGATTAACCTAATATTGACATTAGAGCTAAAATTAGATAATTTAAAATTTTGCACATAACTGATGTTTGGTTTCTTTATCGTTTAGGGATATTCTTTTGTTGCTCCTTCCATTTTATTCAAACACAATGCAGCCATTATGGATCCAGTTTATTTTCTGACAAAACATAACCAACCTGGAGTTACAAATATTGCGAGAAGTGCTATGATGAAGGTAGTCGTAACCATTAACCATTCAAGCATATAAAATAATTCTCTAGTACATAACATATTTTAATGTGAAATATAAAACTTAATAGTTTTCTTTGCTGTGATACAAGAATATCTTATAATTTGGGCTTCTTTTACTAATAACCTAGTAAGCAATGGAATTTTTTTCGAAAGTAATAGTAAAACTCTTATATCCTGCTTATTAGCTGATGTTTGACATGGGTTCATTTAGTTAGCTGATGTAAGGCATAGAATACTGTATTAAGCTTTATCCAAGTCTATCAGAGAAGTTCTTACGTGAATGTTTTCATACCATTTAGAATAAGCTTAGTCTAGAAAGCGCTGCAGATTTGCTTATATATTCTTGAACAAATACAGAAACATACCCATATAGTAATATAAACAGTGTCATGGGCATACATGGGCACAGTAATATACCTGGCCTCGGCTAATACTGCTTGAAGCATTGATGAATAAGCAACTTGTTAATAATAAGTTTTTTTCTTAGCCCAAACTATCTGGTAATGAAGTTCCTTTTGCACATGCCATTTAAGTGTATATGCTTATGGTGGTTTATTTTTTATTTTTATTCAGTAACTGTTAATAAATAAAACAAAGTATTTCATTTCAGGACTCTCCATTTTATCTCCACTATGAGCTGGACTTAAAAGAAAAACCACTGGGAGAAGGTAGTTTTTCTATCTGTCGAAAATGCTTACACAAGAAAACTAAACGTGAATATGCAGTAAAAATAATCAGTAAAAGGTATAAAAACAACCAATACATTATTTCTTTTTTTAAAAAAACAGTGTTAATTTCTACAAAAGCCTGCAATTTAAATATTCTCTGAACAGCTTAAGATGTTCAGGGCAGCACAATAGCAAAATTAAAATTATAAAATTTTGGATGAAATCCTGAGGCAGTGGAATCATTATAATTTTACAATAAAATGTATGGGAAAATAAGAAGCATGGTAAAAAAAAAAAACATAGTGGCTAGGTATGTCCTCCTGGGAAAGTGCTATATTCTCTTTCCTTTTTTTATCTCATTATGTTAAAGTTCGGATCTCCTATTTTTTATTTCCTTTCTAAACTTTGCTCATTCTGAAAGGGAGCAGCATGATGATTATGTATGTTTATATTTTTATACAAAAATATAGATGCCATTCACCTCTATTCTGAGGGAAAATAATTTGTTAACAGCGTAAATGCTTTAAAAGTTTATGTTTAGTTGAAACAAACAACTCTTACATAAAAATATTGAAACATTTTAAATACTTACAGCACATACTTCAACCCTTGAATCATCAAGTCCATTCAACTGCTCGATGAATGAAGGAAACTAATCCATTTAGTGATGGAAAGCCTGTCTTCTTATTTGGTTATTGGTATCACTGTGAAGCTGCTCTTACTCTTAGGAGGTTTTTCCTAATAAGTTACAGGAAGGAATATTCTGATTAAGTGTTGCATTCTAAGATAGTAGAAAATAGCTTTTGGGGGGGGGGGTTGTGTGTGACATCCCTTCAGATGATTCTGAAGTGATGTATTCTGACCCATCAGTCTTCTGTTTTGAGCACTGAACACATCTAGTTTGTTTCTACAGATAGTCAATATCTTCTTATTTCTATTTCTATTTTTATATTTTGGGGGTGAAATCCTTTTTAAATATTGTCTTTTGAGCTGAAATTAGTGCTCATGTAGGATCTGTCCAACAAAGAATAGACTACACACTTTCTGATAAAGTTAAGAAATGGAAAGAGTTCTTACCCTCAATCATACAATGTGAAGAATACAAAGGTACAAGTTCTTAATGTTACAAGGATCTTAATCTTCTCCTTTGTCAGGTTGAAAACTATTGGATAATCATTACATTAGGACGTGGATTTTAAAGGCACATTGTTTACATCTAAGGAAATATTTTAATAAAACTTTGCAGTCTAATTTATAAAGATAGCATTGTCAAATCAGAAGCTTGTTTTATCATAACATTCACTGACTTAATTTTTCAGGCTAGAAGTCAACACTCAGAGAGAAATTACAGCTTTAAAACTCTGCGAAGGACATCCCAATGTTGTGAAATTGCATGAAATTTATCATGATCAGGTATTGCAATATGCTTTGCTTTCTGTATTTGCTCTGCCTAATCTTTAGAAAGCAAGCAAGAGAGGGTGGTGTGAATATTAGAAACATGCTAAATGAAAATGAAAGGAACACAAATAAGACAGTACCGTATTTTCCGGCATATAAGACGACTCGGCGTATAAGACAACCCCCGACTTCGGAGATGATTTGCATGCTTTAGAAAGCCATCTTATATGCCGGAAAATATGGTATATAGAAGGATTTTACTGTTAGTTTTTTCTGTTACAAGCTATGGAAACATTTTAACTTTCAAATCTTCTTTCCTTTCACCTCTTCAGTTAAATTAATTATTGTTCTATATTGTATTGGGAAACTCTGCCAGAACAGCTACTCTATTAAGAAATAAATATAATTATAGTGTAAAGCTACTGTGGACTTACCTACCATAGAAGATGCTATTATATATCTTAATTTTTTTTAAAGAAAACTATTTTACAAGCTAGAGAAGAAAGGGGAAAAACTGCGAACATCCTTACTTATTTACTAAATTAAACTTTACTTATATTCTGTATTTATTTCCATGCTAAGTTAGACATTAAATAATTAAATTTAAGTCAGCTCATGAGAAAAAATGAGAAATGGGGAAAGATGTTTTTTCTATTATGCAGTGTCTACTTCTCTGTGTCTCTCTGTCTGTTTATCTATACTCACGCATACACACTCCTTTATATAGAGAATGTACCAAGTCTATTAACTATTAATTAATAGTTAATAAAGCATGTTGTGATTGGCTAATCACAACATGCTTTATTAACTATTTTTTCAGAGAAATTGTTATTGTACTTAGGAATGTTCAAATATCATATGCCAAATAAGTAAGAAAGTATTTAGAAGAAAATAGCAACTTTTTTGAACATTTAGTGTAATTTATATAACAAATTATCTATAGGGCCTGACTTTTGGTATAGTACATGCACACAAACACACACACACAAAGATAGAGAAAGAGAACAAAATACATTTCTGTTGATCGTGTTAGTTTCCAACCATTAGTAAATTATTTAAATAAACTTAATACAAAAAAATGTGGATACTTCTAGAGTAAAATTGTATGTGAAATATTTTCTATCCCAGAAAGAACCTCACTATATGAATTAGCATTGCTTTGAACACTATATCTCCAACAATTAATTGAACCCTAACTTATTTTTTTCTAAAAGTACATATAGCTATCCAGAAGATGCAAAATATTTTGTTGTGGGGATTATTTATTTATTGCATGCGTACATTGCTAATTCACAAAATGACTCAGAAGAGTTGTCAATAAAAGACCCACAAAAAGATTAGAATAAATGTTTTAATCCCAAATTTGATCAACACTTTACTTGTCAGAGAGAAGCCAGTTGGGGCCAGTCTGATGAAACGGTGTGATAGCCAATATAAATTCAAACCCTTTCTCAATTCTGGATAGAAATATTCTAATATTTAGCAATGTGGGCCTGCCTTTTTCATCCTAACTATTAAAGTCTTGTTATATTCAGTGTCTAATAATACTATATAAAAAGTGAAATAAAAACCCCTCTTGTATTTTCAGAGAGGAATAAAACATTCTAATCTATGTTAAATGATCTTGAAGGGAAAAAAAGGAAAACTTAAATATCAGCATTGCCAATAACTTTTAGGCTTTGGCTGTACCCAATGAAATAATTATAGGAGGATCTTCTTTAGCATTATTTAAACTACAGGGTTTACTAATTTCAAAATATTAACCTTTTATATAGAAGGTTTAATCAGGATATATCAACTTCTTTCCAGGGTTAGTTAGCAAATAATCTGTTTAATGCTGTTTAATCAGGATAGAGCAACTTCTTTCCAAGGTTAGTTAGCAAATAACCCAAAACATATCAAATTCTCAGTTGTTGGAACTCAGAGTATATGATGAGATGCTTTCTTGCTCAGTGGGATTTCATTTTTGGAGCTAAACTGCCAGAACAAATTTTGTGGGTTCTTCTAAAACTCAGGAGAGTGTGATAGAAAAATCATTTTGTTGGTGGAATCTAATTTGACTCCTGCAGTGTCAAATCACTGCAGTGATTCACTTTACAACTGTGACAAGAAAGGTTGTAAAATTACAATATATTACAATTACCATATATCAGTTGAATTACAATATATCAGTTGAAAGAATTTTCAGAGCTGTATTTGTATTTTAATTGACTGGTAAATCTGTCCAACTAATTATTTCTCTTCTACATTTAGAAATATATTTTTCTAAAAATTATATTTGTTTTTAGCTCCACACATTTCTAGTAATGGAACTACTGAAAGGGGGAGAATTACTTGAACGCATCCAGAAAAAGAAGTACTTCAGTGAAACAGAAGCTAGTTATATCATGCGCAGATTAGTTTCTGCAGTGAGCCATATGCACGATGTGGGAGTAGTACACAGAGATTTAAAACCCGAGGTATGAATTTAGGAAATGTGTGAAGCTTATGAAGTCTGACCATTCTCACCTTTCTTATTAATTCTTTTATTCTCCTTTACTTTGTTATAGCTGTATTTTTTTAATAATTGATATAAATAAAAACATAATAAAGTATTTATAAAAATCTTAAGATATCTATATCTACAAGTTATCTATCAATAGTAAGGTAATATTTTCTCATAAGAGATACATAACCTGTGAGTTAGGAGAGGTGTCATTTTAGTCAATTGCCTACTCTCCTATAATACAGGCATTCCTCAACTTACAACAGTTTATTTAGTGACCATTCAGAGTTACAATGGCACTGAAAAAAGTGACCCTTATGACCGTTTTTCACACTTATGACTGTTGCAGCATGATCAAAATTCAGATGCTTGGCAACTGACTCATATTTATGATGGGTTACAGCAGTGGTTCTCAATTATTTTCTGTCATGCCCCCCCTAGGAAGAAGAAAACATTTCGCGCCCCCCCGCGTGACTGTCTATCCAATCGGGTCCTTTGCGTGTGTCACGTGCATCCAATATGATAGTATTTGCCGAGGTCAAATGAGCCCCCCTTTACGGAGCCTCGCGCCCCCCCTGGGGGGGCCGCCCCACTATTTGAGAACCACTGGGTTACAGTGTCTGACAGTCATGGAATGGAGACGCCACATTCACTTAACAACCTTGTCACTAACTTAACTGCAGTGATTCACTTAACAACTGTGGCAAGAAAGATTATAAAATGGAGCAAAATTCATTTAACAAATGTCTCACTTAATAACAGAAATTTTGATCGTAAGTTGAGGACTTCTTTGTATTAGTATTAGTTTTATTTTTTAAATTGAATCTATTATGCATGGATTGTTTTCCAGCTTAATGTTAGAACTACACAGCTTATGTTCTAAGTTAGTAAATTTCACTTTACTGGAATTGTGGGAAGGTATGACTGAAAAGGAGAAATTGAAACACACCATTCTGCTAATGGAAGATTTCTATATATAGAAGAAAATTATTTGAAATCATCCTATAAGAAAAGCTATGCTTAGGCAAGGATTTATTATGGGTGCAGAGAGTAAGGAAGATGATTTTGACAACAATATGTAAGAGCTCATGTTATTATTAATTTTTTAACCTGCCTTTTCCCCCATTATCTAGTGAAAGAGGCTGAGTCCAGAGAAATGAGATAACATTAGGAAGAAAGGGAAGGAGTTTTAGCCTTCCTGTGGAGTTCATTTCCTGTTCTGTTCTGTTATGCTGAAGGGCTAACAAATTAAATTGAAATAGAAGATACTACTTTGAATAAACATTTGAGTTTATAGATCTCCATTGTTCTTAAGACGCTATTAAATAAGTCCAATAATTTTGTATGATTTTTTTCAGTGCTTATTTGCATAGACAGTGTCTTCTACTCATTAAAGCAGATTTTTTCAGCCTTACATATAAGCATGAAAAAAACTGATGCTGCTTTAAGAGTTGCATTAACTTTTGATGAGTGTATTTCTTAAAGCTGTATTTGTTCCTGTGAAAATCTGAAAAAAATACTAGCTAGTTTAGTGAGTACTTGAGAGGTGAGGTCTGAGGCACTTTATTAAATCATTTTTTAAGCATGCCCTGCCCTACTTTTCACTAGACTGGTTGTCCTCATTGGACAATGGAAATCTATCACTAAGAGATGTAGTTAGAAAGTGCAGTGTCACATGACCATATGACTTATGATGGCATTTGCAGCAGTTTCAGATGCTGTTGTTAGGTGATCCCACCTGGCCCTGGCATCCTGTTATCTTATTATCACCATTTGTGGTTGATTTTGCTTAATGGAAGGTGGCAGTGAAGATTGCAAATGGCAAACACATGACAACAGAGCACTATGCCCAAATGATGATCATGTGATGCTGCAGTGATTACAACTATGATGAACAGCCACAAGTCTCCTTGTTTAATGCCATCATAACTTCAAATGATTGCTAAATGAGTGGTCTTTGAATGATATATTGCTCTAGTTTTGTTTTGTTTTTATTCTTCATGATTAGGTTTTTAGAGAAAAGATTTCCTGAGAGTGTAAGGTATAACCAGGAGTTATCTTTTGTCATCAGTTAAAAAAAAAATCATTTCAGCATTCTTGCTATAATGAGAAATTAACTCTACTTCTCTAATACTTTTTTTTAGAATTTATTATTCACAGATGAAAGTGATAATTCAGAAATAAAAATAATTGATTTTGGATTTGCCCGATTAAAACCTTCAGACAATCAGCCTCTTAGAACTCCATGTTTTACCCTTCATTATGCTGCTCCAGAGCTCTTAAACCATAATGGTTATGATGAATCCTGTGACCTCTGGAGTTTGGGAGTTATTCTGGTAAGCATTTTTGGCATTTTTAAAGAAGTACCCAAGCATGAGTGATAACAGTATTAATGAAAAAAGTGAATTATATTTGATGTATATAAATGCTCAACATTAATGTTGACCAGAATATGAAATATTTCATTAGATGTAGCAGAAAAGACTAAGAAAAAGAAAGACTAAGAAAACCTTTATAGAAACAAAAACTATATCCAGCAAAATTATAATTGAAAACAAGGTCAAGTATTATAAAAATTAACCACCTGTCAGATACAGAAACATTTAGACTAACTGCCTGAAAATAATAAAATTAAACATATTTATCATAATACATTTAGTGGGTTTTTTTGCATTGGTTGCTAGGGAAAATGGGGAAACAATTCTGATTTCACTTGAATTAGATCATAAGACTGGTGACATATTTTGACCATGATTAATCCTTTAATTCAGTCAAATTTGAAATCAGTGACATAGTCTTATTTACAATTAAATTTGTTTAAGTATACTATCTTTGGGTACAGATCTCTTGGCAATGATTGAGAGGAAGCATATTTTGTCTGGATAGTCCATTGTTACAATTATAATAGCAGAGGTGAAGGACCAATGGCATTTTACTTAATCGCTTTTTATAAAAGATTAGAGTTTAATAAGATTATACTCTTTCTTGTGAAACAAGTTGACTGAAGCAATTATACTCTAACTTATGAAAACATTATTTATACTGCAGATAATCCTTGCTGAATAACTGGTTGGTTGTGATGTTCAATGTTACGATAGACCCTCCCGTCTCAAAAAATTTTGAGTTCTGAAACTAGTTCCTTTGTGGTCATGTGATCACATTTTGGGCGCTTGGTAACTGGCTCTTATTTTAGAGCAACATCCTGTGGTCATGTAACCATGATTTCCAGCAAAAGTTGGCCATTGGCTATAACGGATTTGTTTAACGCTTGTCATATTTGCTTAATCACTGCAGCCTTCATTTAGCGACTACAGTATTCACTTACCAACCACTGGAAAATAGATTGTAAAATTAGAGTAATTACATTGTGACTCTCTTAATGATTGCCACAACTTACTGTTGTAATTCCTGGCTTAATTACAGTCGTAAGTAGAAGACTACCTCTGTGTAAAAATGAACTTTAAAGTGATTAGATGTACAATTTGTTATTAGTGATATTTATAGTATATCTACACAAATATGATAAATAAGAACTGTATTTATCTGTAGTTATTGATTTAAAATATTTCTTTTTTTCTCCCTGAAAAGTATACAATGCTTTCAGGACAAATACCCTTTCAGTCTCAAGATAGCAGCATAATATGTACAAATGTTTTGGAAACAATGAAGAAAATTAAAAGAGGGGAATTTTCATTTCAAGGAGATGCTTGGAAAAATGTTTCTCAGGAAGCCAAAGATTTGATACAAGGTATATATTGATCACTGGCTTATCTAGTAATTCTTAGGAGTATTAGATAGACATACAGAAATTTTATTTTGTTTCATTGACCAATAAAAATACCTTCACTAAAATGAACAAAGCAAAGTTAATCCATAACATTAATGACTTCTTTATAAGTGAATTTACACACAGTGTAAATTTTGCTACTTTCAGTGATATAAATTATCCTGGTTATCTAATAAATAATGCAAATAAAAATTATTTGAAGTGCCCCAGAAATGTAAATAATAAAGGGATAAACGGCTGGTGGTAAATGTCAAGATAGACATGGCAGTACAAAAGAAGATGGGGGTATTAGTAATTTAACTCTTGGAAATTACTAAAATATTTGCTGAGGATGCTAGCACAATTTGTATAAATTAATAACTGAAAACTATATTATAATAGATTTCTGTTTCTTTAAAACAGCTTCATATTTTATTCTTTCAAGTTTTGCTTTTATAGAACCTAATTCTGATCTTCCAGTTTTCAAATTTGTATGTTTAAAAAAGTTTCAAGATTTGGAGTACATAGACATTTCTAAATTAAAATTAACAAGGCAATTAAACTTAATTAATATATTTCGTGACCTTTCTTTAAATAAAGTTTCATTGTAATCAATTTTCATAAGAGGAATATCAAAATATATACATTTAAATAAAATGAATAAATTTAGCCATTTAAAAAAAATTGCCAGTATTTAAGTTAACTGTTTATAAATGAATGTTAAATAAGTAACATTCAATAGGTAATGTTTGTTATTTTAAAATATCTAATGCATTCATACTAGGACTTCTCACAGTGGATCCAAATAAGAGGATTAAAATGACCAGTTTGAGATACAATGATTGGCTTCAGGATGGTTGCCAACTGTCATCCAACCCATTAATGACTCCAGACAATTTAGGATCTTCAGGAGCTGTAATACATGTCAAAGCAACTTTTAATGTAAGCTTATACTACCTTTTTTTTCTAAATGAAACTATATTTCTCATGTCAGCCTATCATTTACTTCAGGGCTGTCAAACTCAATTTCATTGAAGGTCACATCAGCATTGTGGTTGCCCTCGGTGGGGTGGGTGGGTGTGGCCTACTGGGTGGGCATGGCCAGCTCTACATCACTCGTGTCAAGGGTGCCTGTGGGGGCCTAGGCCGGAGTGGGGCAGATCTGAGGGTCTCTGGCAGAGGGGGGTGGGACTGGGGCAAGCGCCAAGGTATGATCCCCTGGAGGAGTCTCACTGTCCCTCTCAGGCTATGCGGGGGAGATGGACCATGGCACGAGCTGCCTGGAGCCCTGGGCAGTAGAGGTCAAACAGCCAGCCTGATCTCGAGCTCCCGCAGCACCAAATCCAGCCCCATTTCCCCAAGGGGACGCCCAGCTGCGCTTACCTCCTCAAGGCTGCTGCTGCTATGCTTGCTCTCCTTAACCAGGTTGCTCATGATGGGTACGGGGGCAAAGTCAGAGGGAGGCCTACTCCCTCTCCATGTGAGGAGACCCGGCTTTGTATCCAAAGTATCCTTAGCAATAGGATGGGAGACCCCCAGGATAGGCTAGGAGGAGGGGGCAAGGGGATGATGTAAGGGCAGCAGGGCAGGACTTCCCTCAGACCCTCCCTCTCCTTCCTCCCTCCTTCCCTCCCTCCCTCCCTCCCTCCCTCCCTCCCTCCCTTCCTTCCTTCCTTCCTTCCTTCCTTCCTTCCTTCCTTCCTTCAGGACAGAGTGGTGGGAAAATATTTCAGATGAGGGAGGGAGAAAAACAGGCAAGAAATGCAGTTGGGGAGGTGTCACCCTTCATGAGGAATGAAGAAATGCACCATCACCTGGAAGTGGCCAGCAAATGGGGATGCCATGAGCAGCGTGAGAGTTACCTGCGCAACGTCACCCAGGCAGCGGGATGCTCTCCTCACAGTGCCGAAAGGCTGAGCCGGGCGGATCCAAAGAGAAGCCCAACACTGCCCAGCCCCCAGCCTGCCTGGTTTCAGGAGGCAGCGGGGCTCTCTCCTCACAGCGCGAATCTAATGAGAAGCACAATACCGCCCAGCCCCCAACCCGGTTTTGGCAAGCAGCGGGGCTTTCTCCTCACAGCGCCAAGAGGCTGAGCCAGGCAGTGTGAAGCTGTGAGGAGAGCAACATTTTGGAAGTTGTTTGTAGTTGCCTTCTTTCTAGAGCTAAGAGCTGATTTCATCCCTAGGGCAGGAATAGAACCCATGGTTCTCCACTGGTTTTATATTCAATCCTAGATACACATAACCCTTAAAAAAAAACTTGTCTCTTTTGAGAGCCTACTCTTTGACATTCTCATGTTTAAGGTTCCTATTTAACTAAATTGTAGACCAAAAATTCAAATGTCTCTGAATTGGCTAGGTGTGTTTTGCAATTGATAACAGACAAAGACTATGATCAAATCTATCATTAGTATGCAGCACTCATAATAGACAAGGCCACACTTGTGGGGAAGCAAGAATGGAGCTGACAACCACAATAGAAGGAGCCAGTGATTGGATTGGCTCCTCAGAACTCCTTTTTAGATCAAGGAGAGAACTAGAATTGCCCATAGGTTTGCTCCATACAGAGTCTGTCAGCCGGAAAGATCATAGAATAACAATCTTCAACCAATTTGAGACCTCTAGGAGCTAGAAGAAAATCACCCTGCCTAAGCCATGATTTGTACCTTCAAGAGATGCTAGGTTTTCCTACTTTAGGAAGTTGCTTACTATTGATTTTCTAGATATTAAGAACCTTTTGAAGGGATAGTTTCATCACAGGAAGAGTTTCTTTCTACAGGATGAGATAAGTTTAAGAATGTTTATGGATTAAACAGAAAAAATAATAATTTTGGGATAAGAACAGAAGGATTAGAATGTTATTGGAAAAGTAAAAGCTAATTTAAAGGGCTAGATGGACTTGAAAGAATACTTTTTGTGCGTGTTTATAAAACAATATGTGAAGATTTTGAAATTAACTAAGAAATACTCTTGTGGGAATTTGTGCTGCTTGGAAAAAAAATATGATAAGAAGAGACTTTGAAGGTTGACCAGAGGGAACCAGAGAAAACTAAGAATTGTTTTTGCTATTCTAAATAGGCTTTTAACAAGTATAAAAGGGAAGGATTTTGCCTCCAGAATGTGGACAAGGCACCTCTTGCAAAAAGAAGAAAGATGAAAAAGACAAGCACAAGCACAGAGACCCGCAGCAGTTCCAGTGAAAGTTCTCATTCTTCTTCCTCTCAATCCTATGGTAAAACTACCCCTACAAAAACACTACAGACAACACATCCTATAGACAGCAATAAGTCAGAGAATATCTTTCAATTCTCTGATTGAAGATCTGTTCTCTTGGATAATAATTGAAATTTGCTGATGCCTGTTCTCTTTTGAATACAGTAATGAGATATGTTTACAAATTGCCCCTTCTAATATTTTTGTTTCAGTCTGAGGCCTGTGTTGAAATACCACTGCGACTGTAACCAGAATCAAAATTCAAAAAACAAAAAAGTGATATAAAATGTTTCATTTTAATATATGTGCCTCTCCAACACTTTTTAAAAGATGTCTATAATCCAATGGCATAATCCTGCACTCAAGAGCCTGTATGTATGTATGTAATATACATACATACATACACACGTACACGGGCGGGGGGGGGGAAGCTGAGAAAGACTGAGAGGCTGTTTTCTATATAAAATATATTTTATTGTGCAAATTTACAAATGCATATATGTGTGTCTGTGTGGATTAAATCCTCAACAAAGATGTGTTTCAATATATTTGCCAGAATCAAAAATAACATGTTTCCTTATATGCAGAAGCTATTTTCTTATGCAAAACATATACACAAGCCACTTGCTTAGTATATGAAGAAGTCCCTACATGACACATAAGCAGCAACTTAATTTATGTGATAGCTTGGAGACTATATAAAATTTTATTTCCACTTTTTTCTAATGAGATAATACTATTTGGGATTTTAAAACTTGACTTGGAGAAAGATTTTTCAAATATAAAAATTATTCTGTGAGACTTTTATATTCCTTTTATCATGTGGATCAAAAAAACCAAGCTAAGTATGCTATGATATGTAATACATTAAAATTGGCAATTGGGTTGTAGCTTAATATTCAAGAGATTTTTATTCTGTATCAAGCATCTGTATGGTTGATATTATAATTGTATTTGATAAGTAACTGAATGATATTGTGAGTATTTCTTGGAGATGCTGTAATTTGTTGTACCAGATTCAATAAGAACTATAAGCTTATACTATTTAATCTTGCAAGACATTTTTCTGATATTTTCATGTCTAGACATAATGTATCTGAGTTTGCCTGTTTCACACTGGGATATACTTTAATGCATGTACGCATTGGAAAATTAAGAGGATATTTTGTCAAGCACTGTGCTTCATATCTCTACACTGTTATTTTACTATAGTAAAATTTTCCACTGTAGTTATATTTTGGATTCATAAATATGGATTTTCTGATGCATTTTTAAATGATAATATTTTAAACTATGAAGCACGATTTATAAATATATGTAGAGTTCTTCCATAGTTCACATGCTGCAGTTCTGCAAAAAAACAACAACAACAACTATAGAAGTAGTCTTACTGGGTAATTAGTGAGGCAATTTGTATAAAGTTAAGCTTGTATCTATATTGGCATTATTAGACCTCACTTAGTGGATTTTAGAAACACCTTGCTATTTTGTAGAATGAACAATCCAAATTCTATGCAAATACTCCTTTTCTATAAAAACTATTAACTTCTTTACATAATCATATCTATTTCATAAATCTCTTGCATACTTCTTTAGGGAAACTGAAAAAAAAACCCTAGAGAAGCCTGAGAATATTTTCGTGAAGAATTACAGAGAAATAACATAATATGAATTTTTGTGTAATTTACTGGGTTTTTGTGGCCATCTTAATTTCAAGATATGTAAAACATAGAATTAGACAAGTTTTTCTATCAGATATATTTTGACTTCTACACTGTTATTTCTGTAAACTATGCATCCAAACTTGGACAGGACAGTATCTTGCATTGGTAACTATTTAAATGGACTTACGTTTTTTGTGTGAAGTAGCACAACTTTGAGTTTTAAAGAAATGAATTTTTTAGCTTTCAGTTCTCTGCACACTTTTTCGTGAGTATGCATCATTGAACTCCATGAGATATTTCAATAAATAGACATAGGATTGGGTTGTTAATTGTATACATTGATATGTTACCTAGTTTGATAATCAAATGTTTGCAAGAAAACAACCAAAGCTCAGAGAGCACTAAGGACCCCATAAGTTAAACTTTGCAGCACAATATTGAAAACTGAACTGTTTAGATTATTCTGATCTTTATATATGCTGAGAGCAGAAAGATCTTAATTAGATTTACTTTCTATACATATATATGTAGTTCATTTCAAACATTTTTCTTTGGTAATATAGATAAGCATCTTGAAGAGGAGGAAATGTGTTCAGAAATTACATAAACATTTTACTATGGTGTGCCACTTTCCATTTCAAAATGAAGATGGAATAAAGCATATTTTTAAATAAAATGTCAATCTTTTAGAATTTTAATTCTGATACAACTAAATTTATACGTAGTATAGACAACTTATTTTTAATATCTAATTACCTTTGAGAAATTAAAGGGATTTTTTAAAATATCAAAATTTAAAAATTTGGTAGGATGTCATGAAAATCACAGAATCATGGTTTCATATTTCTCAGGAAAAGGATTTTGTATATATTTCCATTGTTTCTTCCACAGGCAGCTATTGTGAAAGCTTGATGAACTATAACTTTATACTATTAGAGAGGGGATTTTCCTGAATAGAAGCATAAGTGAGTGTAAATTGCATATTATTATTATTGATCTTATATTTATTCATATATTTGTACTATATTTAAAAGTTAATTATTTACAATATATACTTTAGTATATCAGTATGTATAATTATCTAGAGGAATAGATACAGCAATAACAATTAGAAATTAAATGGTACATGTGTAGCTATGTTTTCAAAGTTCTTTTATGATATTATATTTTTCACAATCGGATCCACATATATAAACCAAATTACTTCTTGCTATTAATAAAATGATCAATGCAAGAGTTAAACAACATTCCTGATTTTTTATATGCTTTATCCTGCTAGTGGAAAGGTAAGACATTAGGAGTTGCTGGATAAAGCCTCTTTATGTTTTATATCATTGTTGGGGATTAAACAGCTTATGCTGACTGAAATGATAAATTCGTGATTTTTATTTTTTCTCTGTTAAAAAGGATAAATCTTCAGCGAGTTTAGCAGATAAATATTTATTACATCCTTTCCCTAAAAGTTTACTGCATTATGCTATTGATAACTCAGGTAATAATTTATTACCCATAAAAATATTATTCTCTGACTTTAAAATTTTGCACCAGGCAAATAGGCATTAATTGTAGTTAATAAACACAGGATGATATACCTGCAAGATTGGTAGAATCTCAAGTTTATTATAAGGTGTGCTTTGTAATATTAGTAATAGAGAAAGGTGGTGCATACTTCAATAAAGTCAGAAATACTGCATTAATTATTCACATTTATTTTAATTTTAAGATTTATTTAATTCAGATTTATTTTAATTTTCTTTTGTGAAAGAAAATCTCTTATATAATAAAACTCTATAGACTAATATAGCATAGTGGAAAAAATTGATTTGAAAATTAATAGAAGAATTTCGAATAAGGCTGTATTTAAAAACATTTATACATTGAAAAGTGTTTGTTTAAACAAATTACTTCAAATAAAGAAAGCATCACATACTTCTTTGTTTAGACTTCTCAGATGATTACAGTGTGATTGCTCATTTTATGCACTTGGAGAGCAGGAAAATAATATTGCTGTAAAAGACAGATACTTCTGTTGCAACATTTATCTGCTATTTTCTTTGGTTTTGCATGGTAGATGAATGTACATCCAATAATTAAAAGTTAGCAATTAAAATAGAATAATTGTCTTAAGGTGCCACATTGGCACTGATTTACAAGTTTCTATTAGATGCTGTTTTATCTCATCCTTCGTAATTTCTGGAATAGGCACAACTAGCAGAAAAAATACTCCATCACAAAGTCTGCTGCAAAAAAATAGAGGACTTTCGACAGTAGTTCTGAAGTGGCATTCAGAGGCTGCAAGAAGAGAAGGGAAAAAGACACAGTGCATAAACTGAAGCTGTTCACCTGAGATGGAATTTAACTCATACAATCATTACCTAGGAAAATTGTACATAAGGGTGACTTTTCAGTATATAGATAATTATACTTAACTTCTCTGACTGTGTTGGCTGGTTACTCCCACCAAGATTTGAGGGTTTTTAGGATAACTACCGGTAGTTCCTTGAAACAATTTCTTGTTAAATTTGAAAGATTGTTTAACTCTTAATTTAGTTTTTCTTGTTAATTGATTTATTTTACTTTCTTCAGAAAATTAGGTTGCCAGTTTAGGGTGTATGTATAAGGTGTTTCTAAATCTCAGTCCTGGTTCACTTGCATGGATTATGCATCAATTAAGGATAAGTGTTTTATATGGTGATTGTTTTAGTAATAGATGCAGGGGTTATGTATTTAGTCAAACAAAAGAACAAGAATGAAAAAGAAGTACTCCAAGATAGGCAATTTATTAAAATACGAATTTAATAAATACAATTTATTAAAAGGTTAAATAAGAGGAAGAGCAAATCAGTCAGTGGGAGTGTTCTACTAGCAATATAAAACTTTTGGAGTCAATTAATTAAATTCTTATAACTATTAACTTATAACTATTATAACTAAAATTCCCCAAATATTTCCTAGGGTTTTGAGATAAATAATGAGTGAATATTTAAAATAAAATGTCATGTTTATCCATTGTTTTACTTAAAAAAAACCTGTATATTGTAGGTGCTGACTCTAACATGAAGATATTATATGAATTCCAAAATAGGAACCAGTATATTTTTTTTTCATTTTTCATCCAGAGACAGCAGTTTCTTCCATAACAGGTGGCCTGATGAGAAATATTTGAATGAAGTTCTACTCAGGTGATCAATCTATTGTCAAATGAGCCTGATTCAGAAATGTCTGTTAATATTTCTTTTTAATTTATTACTTTGTGAGGTTCCAAATAGATAGCAGAAAATAAGATAAAATGTTTTTAAAATGCAAAAACTTTTAACTATTACATCTTATTATAGGAATTTTATTCATTTATTGGGTTCTTATTGAATATATACTTTTCTTCTAATATAAATTTAATATATATACTATAAATACATTTATTAACATTTCTGCCTGAAGTGTAATATTTATATGGTTTATATACAAAAAATAATAATCATTTAAACTATTGGGATAACTTCATTCTAGCTGGGCTAGAACTAGTCTTAACTTATGAAGATTGGAACAGGGGCTCTTAAAGATTTATTTTGATGAAAGAAAAATCCATGTAGTTTCTCTTTTTAGTTGTGGCTGACTTTATGTGTTATGAGCATCTATCCATAATATCCATAAACACAAACTTTAGTGGATGCTTTATTGTCATAATCAACATTGCTGCTCATCAGTTCCTCAATTAACAAATTTTATATTTACTGGAATTGTCAATATTAGACATAGCTATATAAAATAATAAATATGCATGCATTTTACATGTGTTTTAATATGTTTACCATTTGGCAAGTCTTTAATGGGTTGCATCAACTTTAGAAAGAAATCAAGTTGGAATTTGTAATTGTCAAAAAATATTTTTACCTTCAGTAAATTTGCTGAAATGTTTTTGTGTGGATTTTATGCAAAAAGCAGTACACTGTGTATGTATGTTCAAATATATTTGTTTTACTTTCAAAACAATAAACTTGACTATGTATAAAATGTTACAAATTTAATTTACTGAATTATTGATGGATATTGGTCTTGCAATGCACACCATATAAGTATTAGTCTTTGTTACCTTTTTAAGGAACACTGTTGGGATGAAAACTACCAATGGCTTAGTGCAAAAGAAATACTGATATGCTACCCAGAAAGGGATGCATTCATCACATCTTCTCTTTGGCAGGGAAAGGAAGCTGCAAAGAAAAATAAGCAGAAAGGATAAAAGACTACTGCCCAGAGACACCACCAGAGCAAGGCATGTGATCACATAAAGGTGCCATAAACAATCATCCCCTTTCCAATCCAGAAGTCTAGGCTGTTGGAAAAGTTGCAAACCCTTGAGGGCTAATTTTTAGAAGCCGCTGATCTCATCACTAAGGTTTTCTCTTTGGTAGTTCCTTGATTAAGGAACTACATTGATCCTTGATCAAAAAAATTCTCATCAAGGAACTACCAAGAAGAAAACCATACCCTCATGAACATTGGCGCAGAGCAAGCTACTGTGTGTAAACAGAAAGCAAACTCTACATTTCTTTGCATTGATGTTACATAGTTGGGTAATGAAGCATCTGAAAAAGCTCAGAAAGCACCGAGAAATCTACAGTTCAACCCTGAACTACAGGTACTCCCTTCTATATTTTCTATTATCTGTATGATATAGTTCTATTACCCAAGCACTAGAACAGACATGTTAAACTCGCAACGTCACGTGACATTACACAACATATTGGCACTGTTTCCCATTGCCGGCAACGGGGTGGGCACGGCTTCTGCGTGATGCGTCTGGCCTGCGGGCTAGCAGTTTGACACCCCTGCACTAGAACAACTAGAATAGAGTCTGTCCTTGGGAAGACTATCGTGCCTAATGCTAGAGCTGACCCTGAGCTGTACTTCAGTGTCAAAATACTGTATGTACCTTTTACACCCAATAATTCCTCTAATATTTGTATATTAAAAAGTTATTTTAACATTTTGAAAACCACCCAAGAGAAATAATGTACAAAACATGGAATATCTAATACATATTTACACTATATTGCAAGGACTGGATATGTAATTTTTAAAAAACATTACCACAGTGCAATTAAAGCCAATTTTAAATATGTAATGTTTAGTAGTGTTCTATATAATAGTGTTAATAGTGTGTAATACAAGTAGTCACATGATTTACATATGGATGCTTGACAACTGACTCATATTTATGACGGCTGCAGTGTCCCGGGGTCATATGATCCCTTTTTGCAACCTTCTGACAAGCAAAGTCAATGGGGAAACCAGATTCACTTAACTGTTACTAATTTAACTGCAGTGATTCACTTAACAAATGTGTCAAGAAAAGTCGTAAAATGTGACAAAACTCATTTAACAAATTTCTCACTTAGCAACATACATTTTGGGCTCAATTGTGGTCGTTAAGTTGAGGACTACCTACTAAATGTCTTTGGATACACTCTACATCTTCTACCTGTAAGAATAGGAATCAGTTGTTTTTCCACTCTGGGAACAAACCTTGAAGTTTGGCATTACAGTCGTGTGAATAGTTTCTATGCGGAACCTTTTTATCCACCTTTCCCCATGAACGTGCCGGGGACACAACTCCAAAAGAAGAGCTGAATGACTGTGTAATATCCCGAACCTTTCTCCTTTCCCGCCAAACAATGCCGGGTGCCGCACTTCCTCTTTTGCTCCGCCCACTCCTTCCCCCTCCCGCCTCATCCTTCTGGCCGCCGGTAGGTGGCGCTGCAGCGAACCGCGTTCGGCGCCCCTCCGGTTCCCGTTCCGGGGCCGTAGCCCGGCTCGTTCCGCCACCGAAAAGGCACCCGCTGCCACGGTGCCGCAGCTGCCGCGCCCCCTCCCTTCGCCGGTCCCCGCTTTGCGGGGTGCCGCTGGGCCTGCTCCCGCCATGGCGACCAAGAAAGGGGGCTCGCGGCTGGAGACAGAAATCGAGAGGTGCCGCTCCGAGTGCCAGTGGGAAAGGATCCCTGAACTCGTCAAGCAGCTTTCAGCCAAGCTCATAGCTAACGGTGCGGGCCGCGGGGTGGGAAGGGACGGGGGGAAAGTAAAGAGGAAGCCGGCTTGTCAACTTAACGCAGACAGCCTCCGCTGCAGGTGCAGCGGGGGCGGGATGAGACGGCTGCTTTTAAGCGCGCTCGTGAGAGTAGGGGATGAGCTGGCCTTATAATTAGCCGCGCCCGGTGTTTACACGCGCGACAAAGCTAAACAAGTGAGCCTTCTGGGCACGTGTAGAGGCTCACTGCTTGTCTGCCTTGGAACAGACGCGCAAGCTGTGGATGTAATGTTAAGGCAACCTGATGCTCTTTGTCATGTTTGGCAGGGAATGCTGGGAGTTGTAGTCCATTACATCTGGAGGATATCAGGCTAGGGACCCTTGCAGGGAGAAGACCAGGGCAAAGGCCTGATGCTGTTTCTGCTGATTAAAAACACTAATTCTAAAGCTTTGCTACCCAATAGCGTAATGTTAGAAGACGTGCTAAAAGCTCCCTCTATTTTAACGCCTTTCCTGGAGGCTGGAGAGGAGCTAACCTAGAGCCTTATGTACCAACAGAATTATGCAGCAGTCTACACATGCCCACTATTGACCTTTGAATATCTTTTATGTGTCCAAAAACTTATTCTGGGCATTATATTTATTCTTGGCATTAGTTTTTTTTAAAAATGGCATAGGAATTCAATGGTAAGCTGTAATAAACTGTCAACTTCAAATTACATAGCAACATAAAGGAAGGGGGGAAGGTGGTGGTGCAGTTTCCCCCTTCTGGTGCATTTTTTTCCATTGAAACATTGCTGAAATGGCTTTTGTGTCTATAGCTTTAAAAACTTAATCAGATTGTATTAGGGCTTAACTCTCACTGAAGAATAAAAACATTGTGTAAAGACCACATTTTGAACGACTTATTTTAATTTCTCTAATGTTTCCTGCCCTCACTAACTAACTGTAATATTACTTGCATACTCTGACATTACACAATCAAATGCCGAGAAAAACCCAAATGTTTAATGTATCTTTTCTAAGTTAAGCTGTAATCAATATCTGGCAGGAGTATTCTGATCTCTGATTTGTGAGATCAAATGGAAATCACTCTCCAAGGTTTGGGATGAGGATGAAAAGAATGCATGCTTGTTGGACTTAATATGAGAGAGAACTTGAGGTTATCCTTTATGTTTGAACTCTGGCTATAACAAAACACAATAGGAAAAAAGTGTCCCCTACATCATTGTATAACTATAGAAGTCTAATTATTTTTTATTTATTTATGCTTCATATTTCTTAACTGCCCATCTCCCTTGATACTATATCTAATGTTAAAGTGTTAGCTATTCCACCATGTGAATTTATTAGCCCTTCCAATATCTCTGTAATTTAGAAATTGCAGATTTATGAGCATACTGCAGATATGTATTTAATAGATACAGTATCTATTTTTGCAGATCAGGTTAATGATATAAGCTGAATTTTGGGGTAAATTTGCATTGTATAGCAATGCGAGATGGAAGATTTATTTTAAACATATATAGGAGCACTGCTAGTCTAAATAGCAAAACAGAGGGAAGGGGATAGGGAAAAGTAATTTTATTCAAATAATGGATTGATTAAAGTCTATTGTGAAAGGATATTTTCATGTTTTTGCCTTTACTAATTTTCATACTATAGAAACATGGGTCTGAGTGAAAAGATTTCTGTTAATTTGGACCTATAAATTTTATTTTCTTTTTTTTTAAATCAGAGAACTTATTTTCAAAATACGTAGACATATTTATATTTGAGGAGATATTACATTACAGGAATACAAACATTTAAGATTTAGGATAAGAATGCATATATTCC